GACCAAACTCTTATCATCCATCCCCATTTTACAGATTGAAATTATGAATTGACTTGTCCTAAATTCCATGCTAGTGTGTGACTAAATTTGAACCTAGGTCTGTCTGATTCTCTTGCCTAAATTTTCAATAACTTTTAGGTTATGGAACACATGGATGTTAAATGCACTAGAAATTTTCCTGTGCCTCTTTGGTTTATGACATCTCAACAACTTTAAGACTAGCGGCTTGGCAGATATAGCTGGATGGTTCTTGGGCTGCATATGGAAAGATTCAAGGCCAACATGATGAAAGGGATCCATGCCACTTGTCTCCAAAGCCTCACTGTTGCTTTGCTTTTCAATTTGAGCCAGAGCTGCCAGTCAGCCTTGCTGTGAAGATTTCTTTAGGCAGAAGAGGAGTTGGCATTTTCCAGACAGTGTGCTTGGGATCCTTCTTCATGGTTCCAGCTCTTTGCTGAATTGGCTCCTGAATATGTGTGAATTAACATGCATACCTGAGAAAATTGAGAATTGTTGTTCTGAGATCAGCAGGGATGGGACTGGCGGACCTGATAGTGGATTATCTAAAGCATGCCCTGTTTTACACTCTTCTGTCCAGCAGCACTGATCCTGCCGTCCCACTCACTTTTTGTGAAAACCAGAGCTACATTGTGAAGACCTGTAATTAAAATTTAAATTTTTATATGCAGTTTATTTTTTCTACTTTTTTGTGCTTTTATAGAGTATAGTGCATATTTTATTTCAGACGTCAGGAAATGCTTTAGGGTGTGGGATTTTCTTGTGGGTGTGAGGAAGAAAGGACAATGAGCTTATTGCCTGCCTAGAAAATTGACTAAAAGGGCAGATACAGCATGAGTCCTATACTGCTGAACTGCTCAGATGATGAAGTCAGGGGGACCTGAGTTCTGGCCCCAAAGCCAACCAGCTAATGGCACGTAGAAGACAGTTGATCATTAACTAACTGGTCAAATTGGGCAAGCTATTTTAACCTCCTTAAGCTGGAGTTTATCTATAAAATCGTAATATTATTGTAAGGATTAAATGAAACAATGACTGTAAATGCACTGGCTGACTTGTATTTGGTGCTCAATAAATGTTAGCTGCCATTTTGTTGTTACTCTTCTCTCCTATTAAGTGCTAGTTTAGTTGGCTTGGAACCAATTTCCTCACAGTCATGCATTGCTTAACGACCGGGATACATTCAAGAAATGCATCATTAGGCAATTTTGTCATTGTGTGAACATCATAGAGTGCACTTACACAAAGCTGGATGGTATGGCCTACTACATACCTAGGCTATATGGAATAGCCTACTTCCTGCTCCTAGGCAACAAACGTGTATAGCATCTTACTGTGCTGAATACTGTAGGCAGTTGTAACACAATGGCATAAAAGTATTTGTGTATCTAAACATATCTAAACATAGGAAAGGTAGAGTAAAAATGCGGTATAAAAGATAAAAAATGGTCCACCTGTATAGGGCACTTACCAGGAATGGAGCTTGTAGGACTGGAAGTTGCTCTGGGTAAGTCAGTGAGTGAGTGGTGAGTGAATGTGAAGCCTAGGATGTTACTGGACACTACTGTGGAGTTTATGAACACTGTATACTTAGGCTACACTAAATTTATAAAAAAATATTTTTCTTCAATAATAAATTAACCTTAGCCTACTGTAACTTTTTTACTTTATAAACTTTTAAATTATTTTTAAACTTTTTGACTCTTTTGTAATCACGCTTAGCTTAAAACACAAGCACATTGTACAGCTGTACAAAATATTTTCTTTCTTTAAATCCTTATTCTATAAGCTTTTTTCATATTAGATTTGTTTTTTCTTTTTAAACTTCTTTGTTAAAAACTAAGACACAGGGGTCGGCCCTGTGGCCGAGTGGTTAAGTTCCTGCGCTCCGCTTCAGTGGTCCAGGCTTTCTCCAGTTTGGATCCTGGGCGCAGACATGGCACCACTCATCAGGCCATGCTGAGGCGGCGTCCCACATAGCACAGCCAGAGGCACTCACAACTAGAATCCACAACTATGTACTGGGGAGAAGAATAAAAAAAAGAAGAAGAAGATTGGCAACTGTTGTCAGCTTAGGCGCCAATCTTTTTTAAAAAAAAAAAAAAAACCTCAGGGACACACATTAGCCTAAGCCTACACAGGGTCAGGATCATCAATATCACTGTCTTCCACCTCCACATCTTGTCCCACTGGAAGGTCTTCAAGGACAAATAATATGCATGGAGCTGTCATCTCCTATGATAATACTGCCTTCTTCTGGAATACCTCCTGAAGGACCTGCCTGAGGCTCTTCTTGGGGAGGTGTCACTCTCAGAACTATGTCCATGAGGTTTGTTTCTATGATCAAAAACATCATAGATTTACTTGTAAGCAGGTAATGCACCATGAACATTCCTCTCTATTAATGAAAACCTACAATGTTACAACATCACTACGCGGTAGGAATTTTTCAGCTACATTATAATCTTATGGGACCACCATCATATGTGCTGTCCATGTTGACCAAAATATCTTTATGTGGCGCATGACTGTATCTAGACCATTTTGGAATGTCAGAATGCTATATCTGCAGTTACTTGGGATCAGTCATTTGAAGAAGTTTGACAATTTTTTTCTAAATTAAAACAATTTTAATTATTTAAGACAAGAATCAATCTATAGAATGGATTATTTTGGGGTAGAAATGATTCTGCCTTTGCATTTATTTAGAGTTCTTTTTATTTTTCTATATTGAATAAATAGATTACTATAAAAGCAATTCAAGGAAGGTTTCTATTTTCTTCATCTGAATGCTTAAAGAAACTTAGATTCTTCCAGTTGAACTAATCAATTTCATATGATTATCCAGTGTATAAGAATTCAACTTAGGTTTTCTAAAACTTTTTGAAAATTTAAATTCATACCATCTGTTTGGCCCAAACATCACTTTGTTCTATAAGTCTCTCTCTCTCTCTCTTTTTTTTTTTTTTGATGAGGAAGATTGGCCCTTAGCTAACATCTGTTGCCAATCCTCCTCTTTTTGCTTAAAGAAGATTGTTGCAAAGCTAACATCTGTGCCAGTCTTCCTCTGTTTTGTGTGTGGGACACTGCCACAGCATGGCTTGATGAGTGGTGTGTAGGTCTACGCCCAGGATCCTAACCAGTGAACCCCAAACCGCCAAAGTGGAGTGCACCAACTTAACCACTACAGCACCAGGCTGGTCCCTATTAGTCTCATTTTAATTTTTTCCTTAAAGTTCTTCCTGATACAAGAAGAAAACAGCTCACTATTTATGGTTTGCAGACACAACAAAAATTGTATTTCTGCAAAACTGTTCTTTAATAGGCGATAAAGGGAAAATCTGTAATTTTAAAATAAAAAGTATATAAATTTAAAAGTTTTAAAAATGGTTTCACATGCCATATCCATGTGATTCTGTTTTCATCTTTCTGTGTCTGATACATTTCTTGTTTGGATTAGTCTTAATTGGGGAGCAGTTTGATTCTTTGATAATGTTTGAGTTGATAAAATTACTCATCTTATTCATGCATCAGAGTTCAGCTTTTTGTTTATTTGAAGTAAATACCACTTTCAAATTGATTTACATTTCTTAATTTTTGTACATTCATGCATGTTGTAAAATTTTCATAGAAGCATACTTTAAAAAAATAAATTTAAAAAATTTGTTTAAAATTTTGTTTCTTTCAATGGTTATCCTTCCAATATGCTACAATGCATATTTTAGGTTATATTGAGATTGAAACCTGTCTTCATACAGCTAAAGTATAGAAACTTCTAAAGCTATTATATGCTACAGTTTTAAGAATTCAAGGAATAGTCCCAAGAAAGACTTCAGCCTTTCTTGCCTACTCTTAATATTTACATTACTTTAAATTGCTAACATACCTTTTCTTATTTTTTAAAATTCACTTTTTTCTTATTCATATCATGTTAGTATCTAGTAAAGGCTTTTTAATTTTATGATTGAACTTTGTTGTATTTTACATTTTTTAATGCCAGATTTAGGCTTCTTAAAAGTGAAAGTGTGGATTATCAGGAATCAAATAGGACTGTAGAATTTCTTGGCAATTTATATACTTGATATTCTTGAAGTTTTCACTTCCATATCCAGCGTGTCTATCATATGATGCCCTATCCAAGACTCAAAATCAAAGTGCTCTGACTTTTCACTTGTTTTAATTTGCTATCGTTATTATAAATGATTGTATTAAGTAATGAGACCAGTAAATTTGCAGTCAAACAAAAGAGAAAATATTTTAGCATTCTTTCAACTAAATCTGTAGACATAAGAAATAAACATCTTGATATTTAATTTAAATTAAATTTCTTAATTAAATTGAAAGTGATCTTTACTCTGTGAATCCTTTGTAAAATGGAAAAGATCATCACATAAGGGTTTGATTTCTTCTCAAGTTTTATGTTAATTTATTTGTTGTTTCCCATTTTAGTGAATGGATTTCTCAGATGCCCTGTTATTTTTAACTAGTAGCCTCTTATCACCTCTTCCCCAATGTCTGTATTTCGTTTGTATTATTTATGTCAAAATGATATCATTTAATAGCATCACATATTGTAAAAAACGGTTTTTTGCCATGCTGAGCAGCATGTTGGCTACTTTTATGAACAACAGCATCCTTAAATGTATATTCCTTTGCCATTAAAAAAATTTCATTCTTAATATTCTTTTATATGCAACTGTAGGTAGTCTGATAAAAAATTTATACAAAAATGTTACCTTTGTTAAAACACTGTGTTTTTATTCCAGGTATTAGTCTTAAAGTTTTGTGTATTTTTTTCTTTCTTCAAAATAGATGATCCATAATTATATGGAACACTTAGAAAGAACAAAACTTCATCAGCTCTCAGGGAGCGATCAACTAGAGTCCACAGCTCACAGTAGAATTAGGTAAGCTTTGTTACACGTTTTGCCTTGAGACAAAGTGAAATAATCTGTCTGTTTCTGTTTCTCTCTGTTCTTTAATCCTGGAACAATAGATAGGCTGATTCAAAAAGCTCTCTACTGTGGTTGGAATGCTATAGGAGAGAACAGCATAGAAAAATACAAACAGCCTTCACTATTGAAGAGGTAAATTGTGAGCCATGCCATAGAAGCAGCATATTTTGATTGTTTTCTAATACTTAATGGAGGTTACACTAGGTTTAAATTTTTCTGATTCGTGAGAATGCTGAATATTTTTCATTTCTCCTGTATAAGTGGTTTAAAGTCCTTTTTGTTACAGAGAAGCATGTTTGAAAGGGTTAGCTAGACTTCTGTTTGATGTAGGAGTGTGAATAAATTATGTAGATCTCCAAGCATTGTAGCCAATGAGCTAAGCCAAGACTCTTAGTGGAGAGGAAAATAGTTAATAGGCTGGCTGTCGCTCTGGATTGCTGCATAAATGCTGGGAGCAGCAGCCCTATGGTTATGAGGTGGGGAGAACGGGATGACGTCATCGCTCCGGAGCTGCTGCAGGATGGAGTGGAAAGCTGCTGCTGATGGCATTGTTTTTGTGGCAGCAGCTGAATGACAGATCCTCACTACAAAGATACCCGTTTGGCCCTCGTATAGGCCTCCTGGTTCGGGTGTTTCACCATGCCAGCACAGCGCCATGAGTCCTGGATGCATGCTGCTGTTTGTGTTTGGCTTTGTTGGCGGGGCGGTGGTCATTAATTCTGCTATCTTAGTCTCTCTCTCTGTTTTGCTGCTTGTGCACTTTTCTATTTCTACCGGTGTGCCAGCTCTGACGCAGAACCTACCAAGGATACTCAGGTACTCTAGTCTCTCTTAGAAGCCCCTGTTTAGTTGGCTTTTCTCAAATTTTTAGCTTCACGGGTCTGCTTTATAACCATTTCTGTTGCAGATTGAAACAATGGAAAATGGCCTGAAGCTAGGATTTCTATTCTTATTTATAGCAATTTATAGGCCATCACTTAGAGACACTGCTTTGTATTCGGAAACCACCGACTTAAGAAAAGGATTTTCATCTTGTACTTATACACAAGTACAAGGTCAGTGTGGTCTTGTTTTAAGCAGAGTGTTCCAGGAGTAAAGGGAGAGCAAGAGTAGAGCACGGGTCCAAGTGTTACAGCCTCTGCTGTCAGCATCTGAACATTTAGGGACAGATATCTTTATGCTGGGACCTGCAGTCGTTTAGACATAGGCCGTAGGTGTTTATTTTCTTCCAATTATCCTTTGACTGAGGAAAGTTCATGCATCATTTTTGCAATTTTTGATAGTAGCTCATGGGAATTGACAATTTAAATATTTTTCTCCTAAAACAAAATATATTTTAAAGGGAAAGGATTTAAACCGTTAGGGCAAGGAATGTATATTTTCTCCATTATTTACACATCAAAGTTGTGAAAGCTTTACAAGGCCCATTCACTATTGTTTGGTCAGATGTTGCCCTTTCTTTGGAGACTTGGGTGACAAATACCCATGCCTGCTCGCGGGGGTAGTCATTAATCTCCATGGCTTTTCTGCTGTTCGCTCTCCTTGCACCCTGTACGAACCGACTTCTACATTAGAGGATTAAGGTTTCGGATTCTTTTGTTTTCTAACTCGTCAAACTAAAACTATCTGACTTGTTCCGATTTCTGCTTTGTGCATGGTTTAAATGAAAGTTCATAGTGTATAGCTTTTATTATTTAAGTGTTTACTTAAAATACTCAACTCCTAATTGTGGATTTAGATAAATTAAGATGAATTAAAGTAGTAAATTCGCTCAATGTGTTCTTTTTTATTCATAGATCAGTTCACGTCCAATATTTGTTTAAGGCCCCGAAATTAAATTGCATCTATGGTCTAAAACTAGATATTTGGTCATTTATTTTCTTTCCTGATTTGATAAAAACTGAGAGAAATCTCCTTACTTGTGTATATTTTAGTACATAAAACATGTCTAAATGTATATATAGGCTTTTAGGAGATTAAAAATACGTTAACTCAAGATTATGTAGAATGTTAAACTAAGACTGGTTTTAAAGGGCTGTCAGGTTTCGGTTTGTTGGAGAAAGCAGTGCCGGGCTGTGCTATGCAGCGCTGTGTGGGGGAAGAGGCTTTGGAGGTGGACTGCCTGGGGACACATGCTCTGCACGTGTGAGCTGGAGGACCTTTGGCAAGTTGCTTAATCTCTCTGTGCCTGAGTTTCCTCCTCTGAGTTTCTTACCCCACTGGGTGGTCTTAAAAATCAAGCGAGATGATTATTTTGTATTTAATCAGTTGCAAGATATATAGTAATTTAAACAAGTAAATAATTTTCATAGTTACCTTTATGTACCTTATTTTTAGCAGAGCTTTTTGAGCTCCAGCTATTTTATTGATAAAACAACTTATGATTAATTTCAAAAAGTTCCTTGACACAGAAGTTGCTGTTGATCTGACTGAGTAAAGATATCAGAGTGTTCAATATTAAGATTAAATTGTCAAGAAGTAAGTAGTTCCTTGGAGTCAAACAGGTCTTTGATTCTTATCTCTGCCAATTACTAGTGCCTAAAGTCTGAGCATCACTTTTCCTAATCTGAGACCTGGGAAAACAATCCCTGTTTCCTTACGAGGATTAAATGAGATATGCAAATAAGTTATCCATCTCAGTGCTTGCCAGATGGTGAGTGGTGGACAAATGTAACCCTTTTTACTGCCCTTTATATATATAATAGATTGTATTAATGATTATTTATTTTAAATGTGAATATAGCAAAAAACTGTTTCAAAACACTTTTGTGAAATTCTTTATACATGTAAGGCAACCTTTAAATAACCAACTAAAAATGGATATATGAAACTAAGACAGTTTTTAAAATAATATGACAAGGATTCTGATAGTTGATGATAACTTTGTTTCTAGACAGTAATAGCGTATTGAAACAACTGAGGTTTAAATTTCCCACTTAATGTTTTTCTACATGTACACCATTCTTTTGTTTCTTCTGTGAGTTTTACTGAAACATTTAATAAATATTGTACCAGCCATGCAAACCAACACAGTAAAGGACTAATGTTTACCTTTTAGGGTTTCTTTTTGAAAGTAGGATTCTAATTGATTTCCATAATTACATGTCCTTCTCCCTCCCCCAACTTTTATGTAACTTAGTAAAATAAGGAGAGAAGCGATGTATGTAGTAATATTATTTTTCCAGAGTTGGGACAATGTAACCCAGAGCGTAGTTGACCCTCTTGACAGACAGCTATCAGTCTCTGAAGAAAAGTTCCCTCCTGTAGAGCAGTTTCTGAATGATTCATAGAGCGATACAAAGTGGTGTGAATTCTACTCTATTTTGGAGTGTAGATTTAGTTCACAGGTATAGGAAAGTAAGACTTGGATCCGCGGCAGACTCCTTCCCCCGAATAGTTTTACACTTTTTCAGTATTTGATCTGTGTGAAAATGAATGTGTTGTTATTCATATAGGAAGATAATTCTAGTGACTGACCTGTATTTTGATTTCTCTTAGCAGTGTGATGGATTTGCATGAAGTCTGTATTATCTGCCTGGTTCTCTTTGCATTTTGGGTTAGAGAGCTTTCCACTGAACTCTATCTGATTAAATTCCCAGTCACTTTTTTGCTTGAGTCATTAAGATATGTTAAAAAATAAATAAGTCATCTAGTAGCTCATAGACCCTTAGATTTTCAGTTCCCAAAATATGTTCCCCCAAAACTGAGGGGTAAACATCTGTTAACAACTTTATTTTGTCAAGTATGGACATTAAAATAAAGTAACTTTCTAATCATTGTCAGCATCATTTGGTGAAAGGGCATTTTAAAATCAGAGAAGCAGAAAAGATGTAGAAAAGGGTTAGTCATTCTCCAGAAAGAACAGGTTCTATGGTATGTGGATATGTGTACAATATGTACTATGTAATCCAATAAGGGTATAAAAAGTGATGCCTCTTTTGGCCGCGGACTTATGGAAACTTTATTGCTGAACCAGCATTTGGGAATAACTGGTATAAACAGAATAGTTGACTAGTTACTTTAATTTTTGTCATTTGGTTCTGGCAGCTTGTAGTCACAAACTTAGATTTGGTATTAAAATCTAGGCTTTTATTGTGCTGCCTACCTGCATTTGATTTTTCCTCCCAGATCAAATAGGAAAAGTACCCCAAGTGTGAAGAAGTGTTGCATAATTTACTCTCGCTGATAGAGAAAGTCCTGTGTTATTTCCTTGTGCATACGACTTTAATAAACTGCAGTCCCTCAACTCTTTTGCTTCACCTCACCTTTAAGAAGGTATTCTGACAGTTTTACGAATCCTTTCTGATTGTTGTTAGGAAAGACAGAGCATACCCTTTGTGTTAAATGAGGACACATTTCAAAAGTGGCTTAAGTTTCTTGGTATAAAAGTGAGTTTACAGAACAAAAGACTTATTTAGCAGAACTGAATATTTTCCCACTTTTATTTATAACTTCAGTGTTTCTATTCTAACTTACATTCTTACCAGTAGAGATACGAGTTCCAGGAGCCCCCAAACCTTCAGTGTCTCGTTTCTCACCAGTTTCCCCATTTTGAGTTAATGACCCAGGATGACCTGTTAGTAGGCTTGTTCCACCCTCTAAAAGCCCTTTGATTTGGAATCTTCTATTCGTCAACAAGGGATGTCTTTCTTGTTGAAATTCTTTTATTATTAAAATTGTAACTCGAATTCATTGAAATTTCCCACAAAGCATTGGAAACTCTACAGTCTTTCATAGAATTTTTTGGCCTCCTTGTTTGGAAAAACTGACAATCGTTTTCTCATATGTACTGTGATTGAAACGAACTCATGTATATGGGTTCTATAGAAAAAATACAACTTTTCCTGCTTTTTGAGCAATTTTTAACATTTAATCAGTAGCCCTGATTTAGATCATATGATTTTCCTTTAGGCAGAAAAGGCGTACCTTGAAGAGGCTTGGGTAAACACCTAGGGATTAGTGTGAGGATTTGGGAAGTCTAGAAACAGGGATTGGGGTCACTTCCAGAGGAGGAGGTTGCAAGTTCCCCTAGGGCTAACCTAACCATGAGTGAAAACTTAGCAGCTCTTCTCATTGTGAAAGCCGATCAGAAACTGCTTCCTGGGCAAGGAACTCATCAGTAACTTACAAGATGTCCTAAACCATTACTTACTACTTTTTTCTTTTTTACTTTTTTTTTCGATGAGGATGATTTGCCCTGAGCTAACCTCTGTTGCCAATCTTCCTCTTTTTGCTTGAGGAAGATTGTTACTGAGCTAACATCTGTGGCTGTCTTCCTCTGTTTTGTATGTGGGATGCCACCACAGCGTGGCTTGATGAGCAGTGTGTAGGTCCCCGCCCAGGATCCAAATCTACGAACCCTGGGCTGCTGAATCAGAGTGCATGAACTTAACCACTACATGACTGGGCTGGCCCCTCTTACTACATTTTTTAGTTGATTTCTTGAGGCTAATTTAAACTTCTGAGACTCTGTCCTTTCTCTTTGGTAAGTCTCTTGTTCAGATAGGCAGATGATATTATTTAAGAATGATGTCTCTAAAGCAAAGACAGCACAAACTTTTTTTTTTTAAGATTTTATTTTTTTCCTTTTTCTCCCCAAAGGCCCCCAGTACATAGTTGTATATTTTTCGTTGTGGGTCCTTCTAGTTGTGGCATGTGGGACGCTGCCTCAGCGTAGTTTGATGAGCAATGCCATGTCCGCACCCAGGATTCGAACCAACGAAACACTGGGCCGCCTGCAGTGGAGGAGCACGCGAACTTAACCACTCAGCCATGGGGCCAGCCCCGACAGCACAAACTTATCACTTACAGTCATGATGAATAAAAAATTAAAAATGAATAAATGCTTGGGCTGGTCCCTTGGCATAATGGTTGAGTTCAGTATGTTCCACTTTGGCAGCCTGGGTTCACAGGTTTGGATCCTGGGTGCAGACCTACACCACTCACCAGCCATGGTGTGGTGGCAACCCACATATAAAGTGGAGGAAAATTGGCCCAGATGTTAGCTCAGGACGAATCTTCCTCAGCAAAAAAAAAGAAAGAAAGAAAGAAAATGAGTGAATGCTTTATTTTTTCTCCCCTCTCCAAATAGAAAAGAGCGCCCTATATCATTAGGGATTTTCCCATTACCTGCTGGAGATGGATTGCTTACACCTGACACTCAGAAAGGTGGAGAGACCCCTGGATCAGAGCAATGGAAATTTCAGGAATTAAGTCAACCACGTTCTCATACCAGCCTGAAGGTAAGCTTTATTCTGCCGAAATCTTTAATTTACATTTTATAAGTTTTCTTATCCAAATTGAAGTCTAGACAACCAAAACATAATGAAATGAAATAGTTTGTATACGTTTTTGTTTGTAAAACTTTTTTTTTTAATTGGAAATCAGCTCTTCTCAAGGAGTTTTAGTTTTTTACTATTCTTTTCCACGTTATATCAGAAAAGAAAATGAAGCATTGTTACATCTTGATTAGTATACTGATGACACTAATGACCAAAATTTCTATTTGATTTAGCCTACGTTATATGAATTTAGAGTGAGGTGATCGGTGAACTTAATTATATTTTTTAGAATTGAAAATCATTGCTACCTGAAATCGTTGGTTCACTGTTAGAAACGTCACAATTTAGTAAGGCTTCACTTAAGAAAGAAGTTCCTTCCTCAAAACTCTTCATAAAGCAGTAGTTAAAAGTACATTGTGTTTAGCTGAAAGGCCTGGTGTTGATTCATTATAGATTATATTCTTGACCAAGAACTTGTCATTAAATATATTATAAATATGATATATATGTATATAATAGATATCTAAATAATATACTTGGAGTAGAGATATACTAATAATTAATTTTTAAATAATATTTAAAGTTATATTCTCTATCTTATTTATAAATGGAATATTTATAAATGGAATATTGAAATTCCCTTTATGTAGGAATGCCTTTATAAAAGAATCTTGTTACATTATAAAATCTACTCAATCATAAAACAAACAGGCCATGTACAATGAATACAAGTGAGTTACTTCACGTCTTATCCCCTTTTTCTGCTCTCTTTTTTCTCCAAAGTACTTACCATGGTCCAGTAGTGAAAGATAGCTCTTATGATGCTTCTAAAGTACTAAGTCATTTACTTATTTACTTTGTTTCTCTCCACTGAGAGAACATAAAATCCATGAAATTTATTTACTGCTCTATCCCTAGCACTTAGAAAGGTGCCTAGCACATAGTGGCCACTCAGAACATGTTTGTTGAGTGAATTATTTGTTTTAGATGTTAGAAAGACTCTTTTAGGATAACATAAATGGTCTGTCAGCTCTAGAAGGTGGAGGCATTTAGAATTATTTCACTGACCTTTGAAAAATGTACTCAAAACAGTAAGTAGTCAATAAATATTTGATAATTTTTCTCCCACTGAAAAGTAATTTTAACAGCAAGACCGACCTCACCTTTCTTCCTTTCTCTTTTTTCTTTTTTTTTTTTCCCCACTGAGGAAGATTAGCCCTGGGCTAACATCTTTTGCCTGTCTTCCTCTTTTTTGCTTGTCGAAGATTGGCCCTGAGCTAACATCTGTGCCAGTCTTCCTCCACTTTATATGTGGGTCACCGTCACAGCGTGACTGACAGTGTTGTAGGTCTGCACCTGGGATCCAAACCCACAAACCTGGGCTGCCGAAGCAGAGCTCACGAACTTAACCTCTATGCCACAGGGCCAACCTCTCTCTTTTTTTTTTTTGTTGCTCAATTTATTAGAAGCTAATCACACAGCTGCTCACTCTCAGTCCACAGCAATGCCACTAAGAAACTCTCTCATTCTTTACTCTTATGGCTACACTGGCTTTTTAAGCCTGCCTGTGGGTTTAATAGATCTTCCAGAACACCCATCCCTCAGTTACCTGCTTGCCATTTCCCTTCCCCAAAACAAAATTAAGTAGGAAGGATACTTTTAGTACATGAAAAATATATACCATATGGTAACAGTATTTTAATTACTATCCAAAAAGATACCTTAAAAAGATTATTATAATTCTCTTATTTAATCCAGTGACACACTGTGACTGAACTTTATTGGCAAGTTATAAACTGATTAACAGGTTTTTAATATGGATTCAGGCATAGGTGTGTTCTGTGTCCTCCCTAGAGATACTGAAGCAAGTACTCCCCACTAGTTTCTAAACTAAAATACGGTCTCTCTTTACTCTGGACGTGGAGCCACTAAATGAGATAAAGTCTCAACAGATAGAGCTTTCCAGGAACAAAGTGGTGCATTACAAAATGGCAGAAGTCCAGTTTGTAAAGTATGCCTAATAATTAGGACATTTTATTATTCACCTAAGGCCTTGTTGTTAACCAGATGTCTGTCTCTAACTTTGCCCAAGGCTGGCAGTCGGGGGTTTGGAGTTCACTGGTGGACGGCATCACATGTACCCACTAGGCTTGGTTTCCATGTGTGATAGGAACTGGACTAGATTATCTCTAATTTAAAGTATTCCACAACTTTAATTTCTCTGAGAACTTTGGGAATGACCTAGCTTTATTTAGGGCATGCTTTGCCTTTGTTGTGAAAAATTGAAGATGAGAATTATAATCAGTATTAATTTTACTAGCACAATTTTTCTCTGAAGTAAGGTTAAGGTGAAAATGTTCTGTGAGAAAATCAGATGATGAGTTATAACCAAGGACATAGAACTGTAGGAAGCTTTGTGGCAGAAGAATGACGGTAAAAGAGATTCGCCAGTTGTTGTAAAGTTATGGACCTTCTTTGTTGCTATATTGTGGATTTTTCACTGTGAGAGAGTTGTAGTCAATAAGGTTATATCTTCAGGTATTAGAAAATCTGCCAGGAATGATGCACCTAGAAATATGTACAAGTCCTTAAAAAGAAGTATTTGTACGTGTTATTCCTTTGGTTATTGTATTCTTGTGGGGGAAGTCAACAAACAAGTAAATGAAATAATAGAATAGTTGTTAAGTACTATTAAAAGAAAGTAAGGTGAGGGGAGAGAGAGTAATTAGCAGGGAGGGATGCTTATTTTAGGATGGTGAAGGAAGGCCTCTTAGAGGAGGTGACTTGCACCCTGACTTGAGGGATGTGCAGGTGCATGGAAAGGTCTGGAGGAATAACTGTTTCAGGACGATCAAACAGCATCTGTAAAGGCCCTGAGGTGGGGACAGACTTTGGCGTGCTTGAGGAACGATTGTCTTCTCTTCATCCTACCCCTCTGAGACTTTCAGTCCTACCTGTACACCAACACGCCTTTTCTCTGGGTTACCAAAATCATCCGTCTTTCCAAATCTAATGGAAAATTCTCAGTCTTCACACTACCATGTAGCAGCATTTGACACATTTGAGTACTTTCTGCTTCTTGAAATGCTTTTCTTTACTTTGCTCCCAGGGCACCACTCTTTCTCTCTCTCTCTCTCACTCACTGGTTTTCTTCACTGTTCCTCCATTGCTGGTTTTGGACCTCTAAATGTTGGAGTTCGCCAGGGTTTAAAGCTCAGCCCTCTTCTACTTAATCTGGGTAACTCAAGTTCCACGTCCGTAAATGCCATCCACACATCGATGTTCACAAATTTGAATCTCCAGCCTTGACCTTTCCCTGCACTCCAGACCTGTGCATCCAGTTGCTTTTGTTGATAGTTGTCTCACGTATATGTTTTTGTCCTGCTTAGGTTACCACCAGTAGAAATGCCCTCTTTCAAGGCCATTCTAAATGCCAGAGCTTACACGAAACCTCACCTGACACACTGTTGGTGGTCTTCAAGCCTAGTTTAGAGATCAGCTCAAGGGAAAAAACAGAGGAGATTTATATTGCATCATTAACAGAAATTTCTTGCTGAGGGGCTTCTAGTGAAATTGGTAAAAAGCAACTTCTTATGGTAAGGTACCAAAGCTGTTTTGTTAAAAATGTGTTATAGAAGTGCTAAGGCTGGGAATGGTCAAAAATGTTAAGGTAGGGTTGTTCATCCAAGTGAATTATATTCATGAACAAGTTGCAAATAAAGAAGGAATTGGAGAACCAAAGGCCAGGAATAATCCAAGACAGTCCTGAAGAAGAACAATAAGAACAAGAATTTGCCCTACTAGATATCATGACTTACTGTAATGCTGTAATTTTTAAGATGATGTACTGTTGCATTATGTGCCTTTCTTGTTTCCTATTTGCAAAATTCAGTCCTAAAGCTACTGGGTAGGGCAGAACGAGGTAAGCAGCCACAGGGTGGGGTGGGGTGGAGGTGGGATAGGTATCACAACTGAGCAAAGTTGGGAGTGTATCCCTGTAGCGATAGTCTGGTGTGGAGAATCAGGGCCCCAGCAGTGTGAAGGACATCCCTACAGAGGGCCAGCCTGTCTTGGAGGTGTCAGATCCTGATCAAGGTGGTCGGGGCCTTCCCACGGAAAGGCCCCAGGCATAGGGTGTCACAGCCTGAGCAGGTGAAGAAGGCAACATCCATATGAGGGGTAACCTGGAATGGAGAGGCAGAAGATGCACAGGGAAAGAAGGGCATTGGTGGGGGCGAGACGGAGTGTAATGGCAGAGAGGAGTGACCGTAAGAGACTATGGCTCTGGAAGTCAGGGGACAAGAGAGCCTTAGAATGGAAGGAGTTGTTAGCAGGGTCGGCTGCTAGGGAGAAAGAAAACAAGTAGGATGAGGACTGAATTTGTAAATTTGTAGGTATAGGTTTGAACAGTTTGAGTTGCAGGGCCAATAACAGGAGTGAATGTGAATCATGAAAGGCGGAAATAGAAAGTGTAGATTAGATTACTCAAGAAAAGTGGTTGTAGTAGGAGGAGAGAAAAAGGATAACTTGAGTTGGCAGGATGGTGGGAAAAGTACTCTTAGAATGGGAGAAACTGAGTTGTTTGTGTGCTTGGAAGAAGAATCCAATAGAAAGAGAAACTGAAAACAAGAGTCAAGGAAGATAATTGATACATCATAGAGGAAGGGCAGGTAGAAAGGGATCACATAGCCCAACCGCAATTAAAGTCTACTTTATTGATGGTACACCTCAGTTTTTCCTAGTCTTTTGCGTTACAAACAATGCTGCGGTGAATAACCTTGTACATAATTTTGTACTTTTATTTATACCTCCCGTAAGTGGGATTACTAGATCATAGCATGTATTTAAGATTTTGATAGATGCTGCCAGCTTGCCTGCCAAAGGGATTGTAGTCATTTGTACTCTTCCCCGCAATGTTGTATGAGTTCTTCATTGCTTTACGAGTTTAGAGTTTGAATATCCCTCCCTTATGCCCAAATATGGAAAGAGAGAGAATGTGATGTTTTAAATATCATTTTAAATATCCTGTACATAAAATCCTCATGCTGTTTTCTAGACCTTGGTTGCTATCAATTTGCAGTGATGTCACAGATTCCATCCAGCTTCACAGTTATGCATATGTATGTATGTATGTACACCTACAGATGTATATGCATCTGCACATGCCGAAACGCATGTGTGCATGTGTAGATTAACTCCAAAAGAGTATTATTGTTTTCCTTTGAAGAGTCTCCTAGGTCGTTGATTGTTAGTAGAATGTGACTTTTAGAACTGAGAAAAACAATTTTAACCAAAAAGCAATTAGATTGGTACCTCCTTGTGCAAATTTTAAAGAATTCTTTTAAAACCATATGACTTGAAATACTTTAGTAGAAGTGCTGTGAGAAGCTCTTGTTAGCAGGGTTTGGTATGTAAAGCCGGTGGTCAATGTGTGCTGCATTCTTCAGGGGATGTGCTTAGCATACAGAAGAGGAAATGTCTAAACAGAGCCAGCATTCTTGTTTAGAAGAATTTTCCATCCTCCTCCATCTGTGGTTAAGTTCTTAAATTGTTCCTATTCCTTTAATTTTCCCAAATTTGAATCTCTGTAGTAGTTGAATTCCTGTATCATCTGTAACTAAAGATTCCTAACATAAAATGCATGTATAACTTTAAATTTCACAACAGTTAAAGGTCTCAGGTTTTTTAATTTTTATTTTTTTAAAGATTGACACCTGAGCTAACAACTGTTGCCAATCTTCTTTTTTTTTTTTTTCCTGCTTTTTCTCCCCAAAACCCCCCAGTACTTAGAAGCTTATTTTAGTTGTGGATCCTTCTAGTTGTGGCATATGGGACACTGCCTCAGAATGGCCTGATGAGCGGTGCCATGTCCGCGCCCAGGATCTGAACCTGTGAAACCCTGGGCCGCCAAAGTGGAGCGCATGAACTTAACCACTTGGCTACAGGCCGTCCCCTGACTGTTTATTTTGAAATATTTTAGACTCACAGAAAAGTTGCAAAAATAGTACAGAGTTCCTGTATACTCATCTCCCAGCATCCACTAATGTTAACTAGCCATAGTAAAATTATCAAAACTAAGAAATTAATATTGATACAATACTATTAGCTAAATTACAGACTTGTGTTCGGATTTTGCCAGTTTTTCCACCGCTGTCCTTTCTCTGTTCCAGGATCCAATCCAGAATCTCACATTGCATTGAGTTATGTTTCCTCAGTCTCTCCCAGTGTGTGACAGTTCCTCAGTTTTACCCTGTCTTTCATGGCCTCGAGGCTTGAGAGTGCTGGTTAGTTATTTTGTAGAATATCTCAGTTTGGGCTTCTCTGATGATTTCTCATGATTAGATTGAGGTTATATTTTTGGCAAGAATACTGCAGAAGCAGTATGCCTTAGTGGTGAGGTTAACTTTGATCACTTGGTTCAGCTGGTGTGTTGGACTTCTCCACTATAAAGTTACTATTTTTCCCTTTATAATGAATAAACGTCTTGGTGGATATACTTTGAGACTGTGCAAATATCCTGTTTTTCCTCAAACTTTCATCCACTGATTTTAGTATCCTTCAGTGAATCTTACCTACAGTTGTTACTGTGGTGTTCCAATGGTTATTTTCTGTTTTCTTCATCCTACCTTTATTAACTGGAATTCTGTAAGGAAGAGCTACCCTTCCTTTCTTCCTTCTCTCCTTCCTTTCTTGTTTGAACTCATGGATGTTTATTTTATTCTGTACTTTATTCAGTGCTATCATTTGTTTTGTTGCCCAAATTGTTCCAGCTTTGGACATCAGGAGCTCTTTCAGGTTGACTCCCGTAACCTTTTGACATGCCCCATACTCTTTTATGTACTTCCTTCCTTCCTGGCACCATCATATGCTCCAGGGTCTTGTATTTTTCCTGCTCCAGCCCTGCAATCGACTGCTTCTCCATGGAGCCCTGGTTCCTTTTATTGGAGAATGGTATTTAGGAATCAAGATCTGGGCACTGAATGTGCTTATTGCTTGAAATATGATTGCTTCTAGGCCCTTTCTTTGACGCTAGTGTGGGTTTTTCCATTAGTTTATATTATATATTACCTTTTCTTGGATTTTTTTATTCATGTTTACAGGAGGGTAAAATAAAAATAGACTTTTGAGAAAAATGAATTGTACGTTATAATATTTCATGTTGTTTTTGCTTGTGATAGAAGATAAGGAATTTCTTCTATAACTTCATTTTTTTATTTATAAACTTTTCCCCTCACTTATAGCCTCATTTGATAACTTAAGGAACCATTCACAGCTGACTGTCGGGGTTTGAAGGGGAAAAGGGGCAAAGATTTACTCCTTTTAATCTTTTAGTACTTTGTTATTCACTCATTCATTCATCTATCTTTGTTGAGGTATAATTGACAAATAAAATTATAAGATATATACTTTCTCTCCTTTTAAATTCTTGCTTGGAGAAGGAGGAATAGAATTTGTTCTTTCTTAGTGGGTGTTTATAAATGAGATTTTTTTTTTCTTTTTAGTGTAGTTATTGGGTTGTGTGTTGACCAAAATGCTAATATATGTTGAGAATAAAAACTGGTGAAAGTCTAAATAAACAGCACTATTTAAAAATGATTGTTTAAAACTTACATTTCAAATGTGGCTTCTTTTGAAGTAGTTGGCACATAAGCATTTATTACGTACTTACTGAATGTTTAAACAAGCTTTTAGAATAGGAAAAATAGTTTCAAATATTTCCTGTTGAAGAAAATTTTTACCTTTTTGCATTAAAACATATTTATTGATACCCACTGTGTCCAGGCACAGTGCCACATGCTAGAAATATTAAGGTGCTCAGAGTCCACATATTGTATAAAACAGGTTTAATAATTTTTTTAAAAAAGTTATATTAATGCAGTTTCACAATTTTAAATAATATTAAAGAATCTACAGTAAATAGGTAATTTCTCCAACCCTAAATTCCCCTCCTTTTCCACAGTCATTGTGAATAGTTGGTGTATCCTTTAGACCTTTTTCTTGACATATGCACATAGATACTACATATTCATAATGTCTTTGTAAGATAAATGGATTTATGCTGTAAGTATTTTCCTGCAGCTTGCTTTTTGTTTTTCATTTAGAAATGTATGTTCACAATCTTTCCATTTGTATTATATACAGAGAGCCATCCAATTTTTTACCTTTCTTTTGATGAAGTGAATAGTTGAGAAGGGTTAAAGATGATAAGAATTCAGAATCAAAGATTATGTAAACAAACATTAAGGGAGAGGCAGTCTGGTTTTTATAAAGTGAATCATGCCTTGCTAATCTATGGTTTTTTGAAAGAGTTAACAGAGAGTTGCAGCTGTATTTTAGGCTTTCAAAAAGACTTTGATGAGTTTCCAGACCAAAAATATTTAAAATTTGAAGTTGCTTTGTGTTTAAGAGAAACACTTTTGTCTCACAGAGGGCAAATGTACAAATAGAAATAAAAAAATGTGAGTAAATAGATGTTTTGTGAAAAAGGATTAGAATCTGGGTTTCCTTTTGATTATTAGTGATACTTAACAGTTTCAGAAATGATGTGGAGAAGGGGGAGAAAGGAGAGTGCTGTTAACATTCCAAGTATGCTAAACTGGAATATTTGGTATGTTAAATATTCAAGATGATTAGAATACATTTCAGAAAGATTTCCTACAGTTGTGTGAGTAGAAAAAAGTTACATGATGAGCTGCTTATTGATAAAGTAAGTGATCCAAGGGGTGACTTCTGAACCATGACATCACTTAAGTCAAAACAAAACCATTTTAACGTAGTAGATGATAGAGAGATGGATTTTGTTATCCTGAGAGGTAGTAGAAGCCAAAGATACTTAGAAATATGCTAACACCTAGTAAATGCATGATTTTTTTTCTCTTTTATAATCTCCCTCTTCCCAGGTCAACAGTAGTCCTGAATCTCTGAAGGCTGTAGAACAGGAGGTGAGAATGGTGTTTCAAAACATTTTGCACAAAGTAACCTGAAATGATTAACTATTGGTTCACTTCCTCAACCGCTATTCTCAAGACCTCAGATGCTCAGTTTGGAAGACTGCTGATGTTATTCACTGAAATGCAAAAGAAAATTATTTCCTCCCTCTGCGGTGGTTGCCAGGGCTTTACTGTAATCTGTAATTTACTCCTCCCCCAAAGTCAGCATTTTGAAATAAAGGGGAGAAACTTTAAGTAAATCCTGTGGAAATTCAGCCTATTTCTTTTTATCCAGCTCTAGGTAAGAAAACTAGTATGCTTTGCATAGTGTCCCTTGCTTAGGGCAGAATGTACGTAGCTTGCATGTCTCCTGGAGACAGCCATGTGTCATTTTACCATGGGCTGCCTCTCAAGTTGAACAGATTTCTTCAGCCCCAGTCAGGGTACTATTCAGCTTCATTCAGCAAACATCTGTTGAAAGCCTGCTTCATGTCAGGCTTGATATGCTGGGCCCTGGGGATGTAAAGACAAATAAGACTCTCCTGCCACTAGGTCAGGGTTAGCCCAGGTCCATGGAAGCCCTTCAGCAGGTTTGTGACAGTGAAATAGTTGTCCTCTTTCTTCAGAAATATCCTCAGGGTTAGAACATTCATCCCTCTCCTTTAATCATCTGAATTTTCTTGAACCTACAGTATAATTTACATCTAGATTTATTTCATGTGTGTCTAGAGTTATTGTTCTCTGTTACTTTGGGTCACAGACTCCTCTAGGAATCAAATCAAAGTTATGAAACTCTCCAGAAATTACGCGTACACACAAAGTTTTGTGATCCTGCTGTGCCATAGAGTTGTAAATCAAAAGAACTTAAGAACCACTGCTTTAGACATTTAACTTCATCTTGGGGAGAAAAAAATGTAAACATAAAAGTTAAAATATAAGGTGATAAGTGTTAGAGTAGGGGATACATGGGACTAGTTGCCTTTTGTAATTTTGTCTTTACTTTCATTAGTCTTAAAATCTTTGAATCTGAAAGACAAAGTTATATAGCAGAGTTGCTTGCCCCTTTATTTAGCTTATTTCAGATGAAGTCAGGCAGCCTACTTAGGAAAACACTACGTTGGAACATTTCCAAGTTGTCCTTAATGGGATAATTTATTTTCTGTGGTTGTGAACTTAACTTCATAGTATCTCAGAACATAAATAATCATGGGGCAATGCCAGATAACACATGACATATGTACTCTATACAGCCGTGAGCACATGAGGCATTTGATGAATGAAACAACTGAAAATATTTTGTAAAAGTGTATAGACTTATAGCATGATATCTAAAACCAATAGCAAAATGGCACAAAGACCAGATTTTTACCACAGTATCTGAAGTGAAGTTAAAAGTAATGACACCTATTTTCTTTTTTTGTGTGGTAGAAAACATAACATACAATTTACCATCTTGATCATTTTTAAGTGCACAGTTCAGTAGTGTTAAGAATATCCATGGGGCTGGCCTGGTGGCACAGCGGTTAAGTGCACACGTTCTGCTTCAGCAGCCTGTGGTTTGCCGGTTCGGATCCTGGGTGTGGACATGGCACTGCTTGGCATGCCATGCTGTGGTAGGCGTCCCACATATAAAGTAGAGGAAGATGGGCACGGATGTTAGCTCAGGGCCAGTCTTCCTCAGCAAAAAGAGGAGGATTGGCAGCAGTTAGCTCAGGGCTAATCTTCCTAAAAAAAAAATAGAATATTCACATCAGGGGCTGGCCCCATGGCCAAGTGGTTGAGTTTGCGCGCTGCACTTCGGCGACCCAGGGCTTCACCGGTTCAAATCCTGGGCATGAACATGACGCCACTTGTCAGGCCACATTGAGGCGGCGTCCCACATGCCACAACTAGAAAGACCCACAACTAAAATATACAACTGTGTACCAGGGGGCTTTGGAGAGAAAAAGAAAAAAAGAAAATCTTTAAAAAATAAAAATAAATAAATTAATTAAAAAGAATATTCACATCGTTGTGAAACAGATTTCTAGAACTTTTTCATCTTGTAATTCTGAAACTATACCTGTTATACAACAACTCTTCCCTCTCCCTCCCCCCTGCCCCAGTAACCACTATTCTACTTTCTGTCCCTATAGTTTTGTCTACCTCATTTAAGTGAAATCATGTAGTATTTGTCTTTCCGTAACTGCCTTATTTCACTTACATAATGTCCTCAGGGTTCATCCATGTTGTAGCTTGTGACAGCATTTCCTTCCTTTTCAGGGTGGAATACTATTCCATTGTGTGTACACACCACATTTTATTTATCCGTTCATCCCTTGATGGACATTTGGTAGCTTCTGTCTCTTGGCTATTGTGAGTAGTGCTGTTATGAACACGGGTGTGCAAATATCTCTTCAAGACCCTGCTTTCAGTTCTTTTGGCTTACCCAGAAGGGGTATTGCTGGATCATATGGTAGTTTTATTTTTAATTTTATGAGGAAACTCCATACTGTTTTCAAACCATTTTACAGCCACACAAACAGTGTACAAGGGTTCTAATTTCTCCACATCTCACCAACACTTGTTATTTTCTGTGTTTTTTTTTTTATAGTAGCCATCCTAATGGGTGTGAGGTGATATCTCGTTGTGGTTTTGATTTGCATTTCTCTGATATTAGTGATATTGGGCGTATTTTCATATGCTTGTTGCCTATTTGTCTATCACCTTTGAATGACACCTATACTTTTAAAACTTAAATATGCATAGGAGTGCCGTTCCTTTATGGTTACAGCTCTAGAATCCCAACTTAGGTCCCTGCTTTCTGTGGACATTCTCCAGTGACATGCACAGCCTACAATGTGAGAGTTCCTTAAAGACTGAAGTGGCGACGGGGTTACAAAATGAGGACATTTATCAGACAGCCATGTGAGTCTCCATGTTTAACACACACACGTGCCGATGAAGAGGATATCTTAATGATATCAGGCCACGGGAATTGATAGGCCAGCAGTCTTCAGATAAATAAGCAACATTTGTAGTCAAGATTATTAGCCAAAACAGCATAACCTGGCATATAATGGGCATAAAACAGCAATCGGAAGTCTTCAAAAGTCACAGGTTGAATGTGAACTAATAGCATGCAACTCCCCTGTCACTTTATACTGAATAATTCATATAAATGCTTCCAGTTTCCATTTAGGTCCTAGTAAGAATTTTCCCTCATTTTGCACATTATGTCTTATAAGCTTACTGTTGACCAAAAGTGATGTATTTGATCTTTTAGCAGGTTAATATTTAGGCTTATCTTTCTGCATTTTATCTCTAGTTGGAGGCATTGTTAGTGACAGATTTCATAATTTCTTCCATAGGAGATACAGTATAAGAATATTATCCCCCCAGTCAAACACTGTAGCAGAGACTTCCCATCTCAGTGCTTTCCTGCTAATCTTAGGAGCTTTATGTCACCACTGCCTGAGACACCAAGGAGAAATACCTCTTTTGAAAACTGTCCCCTAAAATTCAGAACTTTTTCCTCCAGCTCTCATGCTCTATCCCTGGGATCCAGTTGTCAGAAGTACAGCCCACACAATGAGCTATTTTAATGAGTGTAAAATATTTTTATGTGGTAAAAGTATAAAAGAGAAGCAAGTTACAGATAAATAAATGCCATCTTATTTAGATAGCCTAGGAAAAATTTAAAAGATCATTTTTCTTCCAAGCAGATCTTAATTTACCACTTCCTTGTAGTACTAAACCTTGAGATCCTTAGGGTGTCACAGTCCTTTTCCTATTTTGGGTTCAGCTCTCTCCTGCTTACTTTATTTTATACTCCCAGATCCACGAAGGAATTTGGAGAGGAGGGCTTTTCCAAACTGTTGATATTGTGAACTCTTTAATTACTAAGTAATTTTTTAAAGGTAGAAATAACTAGACCTTGGGGATAGACTGATAAGGAGGAAGAGGAAATAATTTCTCTCCTTGGCTTTTGTTTGAGAGGTAAATGACAAGGACAAGATTGACCTCAAATTATTTATTTTTCAAATAGCTTCAACAGCGTATAGTTGTCTCAACATAGATGAGCTTGAAATTCTCCAGATCTTTCTGAATCCATAGTCTTGGTGGGTTTAAGTGCTGTCCATCAACACTATTCATCAGGAACCTGGACTGTTTGTTCTTTTATTTTTATTTTTTTGGTGCAGATCAGCCCTAAGCTCTATTGCCAATCTTCTTCTTTTTTGCTTGAGAAAGATTGTTGCTGAGTTAACATCTGTGCCAGTTGTCATCTGTTTTTTATATGTGGGATGCTGCCACAGCATGGCTTGATGAGCAGTGTGTACATTCATGCCTGGGATCCGAACCTGTTAACCCTGGACTGCTGAAGCAGAACGTGTGACCCCAGCCACCATGCCATCAGGCCGGCCCCTGGACTGTTTATTTTATATGAATTTTTTAAATATATTTTATACTTTAAAGCTTTAAAGAGTAGGAATTCATGTATATGGTAACATAAATATGAATTAACTAAGCTGTTAAATTAACCAAAATAATACCTCTTTTATTTTTTTAATAGAGTATACCTCAAAGTACAGACCAAGGGAGTGGTACTCAGGGCAGCTTCTATTTGTCTTCACTGTAGGCCTCTATGGCTCCAGAAATATTACTATCAGTTTTTCTGACTCAACTCCAAAAAGCTAATTTCTTTGACTTAGTATATATATTTTTTTTCTTCTTCTTCTTCTCGCCAAAGCCCCCCCCCCCCCAGTACATAGTTGTGTACTCCAGCCGTGAGTGCCTCCAGCTGTGCCATGTGGGACACTGCCCCAGCATGGCCCAATGAGTGGTGCCATGTCTGCGCCCGGGATCCGAACCGGCGAAACCCTGGGCCACCAAAGCGGAGCGCACCAACTTAATCACTTGGCCATGGGACCAGCCCCCTGACTTAGTAAATTTTTATCAGATATTTCTATATTAGATGCCAGTCACCAGCAAGGAAATAGGCAGTGATTTTGTCTTTTAATGTTAAGAGGGAAGGAAGTGATAGAGAATTGAGCTATGTATTTCTTTGGTTTATTTTCCTTCCCATTGGAAATCAGCCCAGTGTTTGCGTTGCACAGAAGAAAATAGCTACTAAATTCAGCTAATTTTATTAGCATATAGTTAGTATTGCACTTCAGATAACAGATAATCAAAGTTATCTTAAACACAAGGCAATAATGAGTGGATAGCTCCCGATTCATAAATAGTATGAATGGGTTTTCTTTTTCTCAAAACTTTCAGATTGAAAGATAATTTCATCTAGCAATACTAGTTCAAATTTGTTTGGAACTTATTTACTTTTTTTCCTTATAAAAGTAGCACATGCCTATTGTTTAAAAATTTGAAAAAAGGAAAGTAGTATAAGCAAGGAAAAAATTTTTATGTACTATCTCTAGTCACTTTATATACTTAAAAAATAGTTTTTGAGACCATACTTCATATATAGATTTATGTTCTGATTTTTATAATTTTTTCTACTTCAAAAAATATGTATAAATAATGCTAATAAGGGCAAAGAAAAAGCAAAAATCACTCATTATCCAACTACCCAGTGGCAACCACTGTTAAAAATGTCATATATGTCCTAACAGAGCTTTTGCTAGCCATATTTTTTAATTGATCATGCTGTGCAGAACTGTTTTAATCCCCAATCTCTTTCCATTTTGAATATTTTCCATCTCAGTAAATATTCTTCTATTACATGGTTTTTAATTGCTGCATAATATTCTGTATCATGGATTCTGTATCTGTGCGTGGATATCTGTATCAGATATAATAATCTGTGTCATCTGTGTCATTGTTTAATCTCCTATTTTGGAGCATTAAGTTGTTGGCAGTTTTTTGCTGTTATAAATGACATCGTGTATACATCTCTGATTGTTTCTTTAAAAGTATAGTATTTTTTTCAATTTAATATTTAAGCATTTTCCTATGTCACTGAAAATTCATTTTAAGTAAGTATTTTATGCTAACATAGATATACCATTTTATTTTTCTTTTGCTAGATTCAGAATCTCAGAGGATGTTTGTTTTTGGTAAATGGATCATTGTCTGTCTTGGATATATGTGTTTCTTAAAATGGTGATGAGCAATAATATAATCAGCTGACCAGCTATTGTACAAGTCCAAGTACAATATAAATTGTCAGAAATTGAGAATATCAAGGGATTTACTAGAATGAAGGTCTTCAGCAAACAGTTGTGTTTTATCCATGTCTTAGAGCTCAAGCCCACCAGTAGAACTAAGATACTCAAGACTCTTAGTGAGTAACTCCTTGCTGGGCCACATTCTGTGACTTTGTACGTTTCTCATCACTTAAGGGAGGAAAAAAACCCCTAAAGCCTGGGATAAGGATGAGCGGGGTTGGAGGAGCACTGTTGAAGGAGAAAGTGCTCTCAATTTGCCATAGCAAATATAATTCATTTTGCGTGACATATGTTCTCATCTGGTAATTAATTTTACATTAGTTCAGCCACTCATGGTAGTGAAATTTGTGCCACATCAAAATGCGTCATAGTAAATTAATATTAAGAGACGATACTGAGGATGAAACATTTTAATGTTGTAAAACTAAGAGTTTTGGTGATGAAGTTAAGTTCTCCAAGTGTGGTTACTTTCATTGTAGTTGGTGTTCATCATAGCATGTACAGTTGACTGTATGTCAAAAAATGCTTTCTTGTACTTGAATAGCATTTTAAATTTGAATTTGAACTCCCTCTTACTTCTCAGCACCTAAAATAACCTAAATCTCTCAGATAGTGTATTGTAAAGCTGTGCAGTGGGTATGTAATTTTGATTGCTATGGTATTAGTTTTGTTTTTTTTTAAATTGCTTGGATTCTGTTCCAATATTTTTATAGCTATAATGTATTTTTAACAATGTTCTTCAAAAGTTCAAAAAGACAAAGTTTTAAAGAGGGAAATAAAAATCAGTAATAATCATCGCCCACCATAGCACAGCTTAATTTTTTTTTTTTTTTTTTTTTGAGGAAGATTAGCCCTGAGCAAACTACTGCCAGTCCTCCTCTTTTTGCTGAGGAAGCCTGGCCCTGAGCTAACATCCGTGCCCATCTTCCTCTACTTTATACATGGGATGCCTACCACAGCATGGCATGCCAAGCGGTGCCATATCCGCACCTGGGATCCAAATCGGTGACCCCTGGGCCGCTGAGAAGGGGAACGTGTGAACTTAACTGCTGCACCACTGGGCTGGCCCATAGTATGTTTATATATATATTATTTTTTTGTTTTAGGCCAAAAGCATACATTTAAAAATTTTCAAAGGGGCTTGCCTGATGGTATAGTGGTTAAGTTTGCACACTCTGCTTCAGTGGCCCGGGGTTTGTGGATTCAGATCCTGGGCATGGACCCACAAACCGCTCATCAACTCATGCTGTGGCAGTGTCCCACATACAAAAAAATAGATGTAGATTGGCACAGATGTTAGCTCAGCGACAATCTTCCTCAAGCAGAAAGAGGAAGATTGGCAACAGATGTCAGCTCAGAGCCAATCTTCCTCACAAAAATAAATAAATAATAGAATTACAAAGTTGTGCATAATGCATTATTATAAATTGTAATAATAGCTAACATTTTAAATGCTTAGTATGTGTGAACACATTGCTAAGTCTCTATATAGAATACCTTATAGTAATCCTATGAAGTAGGTACCATTATCTCTATTTTACAGATCAGAAAACGTGGGTCTAGAAAGAATACATAACCAACCTAAGGTCATATGTTTAGTGAAAGGTAACCTCACTAAATTTACCATAATCCTTATTATTATTATTATCATCATTGCTAGTAGTAAACTTTTTGTCAAGTTCTCTTTTTCTAAGAGCTAGGTACTTTGCTCTAAAAGAACTGCCTCATTATTGGTAGCATTGGACAGTTGTTTTTCATTATTTTGGAATCACAAACCCCTTTGAAAATCTAATAAAAGTTGTAGATTCTTTTCCCAGAAAAATGCATTGTACACAAATTTTTGCATAAAATTTCAATCTGAGCATGTACCTCTTGAAGCCTACCTGTAGACCTAGAATAGTAGTTATGTTAATGAGTATATAAATCACCTGGTTGCTTGTTAAAATGCCTATTACCTGATCTCTAAGTGCTTCAAATGATCAGGATGCAGGATGTTTTAAGGACAGTGTTTACAGAACTATTGGACTCACTGCTGTTTTAGAGTAGCTACTACAGGGAACACACTGTGTTTTGAAGCAGTGTTTATTATCAGATGATTGTACAGTACCACAACTGCTGTTAAAAACTCCAATGATGGGGCCGGCCCGGTGGTGCAGCGGTTAAATTCGCGCTTTCCGTTTCTTGGTGGCCCAGGGTTTGCCCGTTTGGATCCCTGGTATGGACATGGCACCGCTTGGCAAGCCATGCTGTGGCAGGCATCCCACATATAAAGTAGAGGAAGATGGGCACGGATGTTAGCTCAGGGCCAGGCTTCCTCAGCAAAAAGAGGAGGACTGGCAGTAGTTAGCTCAGAGCTAATCTTCCTCAAAAAAAAAATAAATAAAAAATTTTTAAAAAACTCCAATGATGATGTTAATTTATAATTTTGTTGTTAATACTGACAATCTACTTTTATCTTCAAAATTTCTATTTAGTAGAATCTCATGTATGGAAAAATATGATTTACTTAAATGTTCCCCAATTGTTTGAAAATAGTCTGCAGAGATTGTTTATTGGTTTCCTTTGGTAATCAGTGACTATTACTATTTTTTAATAGAATTTTCTCTCAGCAAGTTTATTTCTTAACCCATTTTTAAAATGCTTTAAAATAAAGTACTCATTTAAAAATTTTTCTGTAATTATTTTTATTTGTAGGATGAACTTTCTGATGTTAGCCAAGGAGGATCTAAAGCTACCACTCCAGCATCGACAGCTGCTTCAGACGTGGCAGCAATTCCTGCTGATACTCCCTTAAATGAAGATGGTGAAGGATTGGTGAAAGCTGTGGATACACCAGATAAGTCAGAGATAAGCAAGCATATTGAAGTACAGGTAGCCCAGGAAACCAGACATGTATCCACAGGTAAGTGACCCTAGTTCTTTACTTACTGGCAAAGTATTCAGTAAATCCAGATGATGTGGGTATGAGAAAATACATCTTTGGGGTGTTACTGCTTGAGATTTATAAAATTGTACTTAATTGTAAATAAGCTTATAAGAGTTGATGATTAAATAAAGTTTTGGAGAGAAAAATTGAGAGGGCTGGGAGATTGGACAGCCTGAAAGTCAGGAGGACAGTCTTTTTCTGTCCCCTGCCTTAGATCATTCATTAGTCTTTGTCTTTAATTTCTCTATATTCCACCTCTTAAATTGGAATGAAAACAGGGAGTTCTGGCCTGGGATGCACTGCACTGTGTCCCAAGAATCACAAATGAAAACTTTCTTTGGTTATTTGTTAGTTTCTGATATTGACTGTTAATTAAATATGTGACATATTGTCTAACCCTGTGTTTCCTAGATTCCACTCTTTTAAATTTTTTTAATGATCAAATGATGTATTTACAACCATAGAAGCAACAGGATTTTCATATCAGGAGAGTATGTGGTATATGCATTATTTATGTCATCTTATCCTTTCCTAAGGCTCTGCTGAAAATGAAGAAAAGTCAGAAGTTCAAGCAATCATTGAATCCACTCCTGAGTTGGACATGGACAAAGATCTCAGTGGATTCAAAGGCTCAAGGTACTGTAAATGTCTATTCCATTCTCCAGTCTAGACTGTTGTCATGTTTGCTCTGGTCCTGGAATTTGCCCTCACTATCTTATCTTTTCACCTCTCTCTGTATCTTCTGTTTCCTGGATCCTATGTCATCTTGCTTCTTGATTTATGCCTTTGTTTTGACAGAACATATTCTTGCTAGCTTTCTGGGCAAAGTCTTCATGGGAGTAAATTTTTTGATAACTTGAATGTGACAAATATCATTTGAAGACATGATTGATATTTTGATAATTTGGCTGAATACAGAATTCTAGCTTGGAAAACCTTCAGAAGTTTTCCTTTAGAATTGTGAAAACATTGCTTCATCGTGATGTTGAGTTTGAAGTGTTGCCATTTGGATTCTTGCTTTTTTGTATATTCTCTGCCAAAGCTTTTAGGATCTTCAGTTTGGGTTCTTTTCCTCCTTTTTTTAGAATTCATGATGATGTTTTGATGTATCTTTTCTATCTTCTTGTATGTAGTAAGTCCTTTCATCTGGAAATGCATATCTCCTAGTACTGAGAAATTTTCTCCTTATTCTTTGTATTGTTGTCTCTTCCTCTCTCTTTCTGGAACACCTATTAGGTGCATATTGAACATCCTGGACTATCCTCATAATTCCTTTTTTCCTTCTTCTCCAAATCTCTCCTATTCTTGGTCTAATTTCTGGATGACTTCTTCAACTTTATCTTTCAGTGCTCATTGATTTTTTTTGTTTTTCTTGGATGGCTACTTTTTATAACATCTTGCTATTATTCTCTTATGGATGCAACATTTATTTTGGAAAAAATTAGGTTTTTCTTTATAAGTTTCTGCTGCTGCCTGCGTTGTCTCCTTTTGCTCTGAGTGCCTCTGTCACAGTCCATTTGTTTGGGGCTTTTTATTTTATAATAGAGGGCTTCTTTAAATGTCTGGTGCTCTGTGCCTGTTTTGCTCATACTTGAGTAAATGACACTGATTCTCCAGTTTCCTGCCTATGACATTTAAACTTGGCTTCCATTATTCAGGGTGCAATACTGGGAGAAGGGAGGTCTCTCTGTTCTGGAGGATTGTATCTAGGTCTCATATTATTTCTTGTGCTGTCTTTCATCCCATCCTTCTGTTTTTATATCCGCCCTTACATGCTTCTCTCTGCTGATTGCTGGTTCCTTCAGTTCCTGGGCCTTTCAAGGCTTCTGGCAGCACACTGACTTCCTCCCTAAACCCCAGTGGCTTAGGTTTCAGTTTTCTTTGGTCTGTTAAATCAATTTCTGTTGTTTCCCTGTTCGTTTTCCATTTTAGAGAATTTTGTTGACATTTCACCTGCTCTCGTTTCTTCTTCTATTCCCTATGTCCTTGTGGGTATATATACCTTTTTAGATTCTTTTTACTGTTGTTTTAGTTGAGTTTCTGAATTATTGGGTGATAAATGACTATGTTCAGTCCACTATGTTTAACTGGAAATCCTATGCAGACTTTTTTTCTATTAATACAACATTAATGCACAAACATACACGTTTCCCCTTTCCCCTCCACACCCCTGCAAAAAAGGGCTTATATATATGTTTTGCAACTTGGTTTTTAAAAACACCTTTATATGATGGGTTTCTTTAGTTTATAAAGCTCTATTTTAATGTTTTTAACTCTATAGTTAAAATTTTCAACTTTTATGTATATCCATAATTTATTTCATCTGTGCCCTATTAATGGTCTATTAGGTTGCTTCAACTGTTTGACACTATAAAATTGCTGCTCTGACCATGCTTTTACATACATAATTGCCTTGTTGTGACAGGGCTTTTGTAGAACAATTTTTGACATCGCATTCTTGGATCTGTGGTTATTTACATTTTAATTAATTAATTAATTAATTAATTTGGTGAGGGAGATTGGCCATGAGCAAACATCTATTGCCAATCTTCCTCTTTTTGCTTGAGAAAGATTCACCCTCAGCTAACATCTATGCCAGTCTTCCTGTATTTTGTATGTGGGTTGCCACCATAGCATGGCTGCCAATGAGTGGTATAGATCTGTGCCTGGGAATTGAACCCGGGCCACTGAAGTGGAGTGCACCAAACTTAACCACTGTGACACAGGGCTAGCTCCTCATTTTAAATTTTAATAGATACTGTCAAATTGCCCTTAAATGAAAAAGAAAATGACCATGCCAATTTATGACCAGGCAACATATAACATGGTAGTTAGGACCATGGATTCTGAAGCCTAACAGCCTAGGTTTGAATTCCACCTCTTTGTCTCCTTTGCTGGATGATCTTGGCAAATTCCTTAACCTCTTTAGTTTCCTCATCTGTAAAATTGGCATAATGGCAGCACCTCCTTTGTAGTGTAGGTGTGAGGATTCAGTAAGATAGTTTGTGTAAAGCACTTAGACCAACACCTGGTACAATGCAGAATGGTGCTCTCTGTTAGCTGCCATTTATTGTTCGTGTTTGCTGGGATCTCACCACAGAAACATTATTTTCTTTACCAATTCTCTCTGTGGAGTTTAATGGGAATTTCTTAGGAGACCTTTGAGAAATCTTTCAAAATTACATTTTGTGTTAAATGTAAATTACAGGTAAAAAATTCCTAGGTAACTTAGCTTTTGTATTCAATTTACACTGTTAAGAAAAAGTCTTTGTAATATTGATTTGTTTGGTTTTGTTGTTTTTGTTGCATAGCACTCCCACCAAAGGCATAGAGAACAAAGCTTTTGATCGCAATACAGAATCTCTCTTTGAAGAACTGTCTTCAGCTGGCTCAGGCCTAATTGGAGATGTGGATGAAGGAGCAGATTTACTAGGTATGATAGCTTATCTGAAGAAGTATCATACTGTTTTAAAAAAGATTTTTTAAGTGATTTAATTGAAATTCCTTTAAAATGTCCGTACTGCCCAGTGTTACAGTTATTGCACTTTTAGGTAATTAATAGGAATGTATTCTTTGAAATCATGAAAGTTTTAAATGAAAGCATCTTTGTATATGGATATGCCTACAATTGAATTGCATTTAAATTTGTATTTTGATTCATATAACACAATTTATTGAATTCCTGCTATATATTCCGAGAGCAGTATTACACATAAGGAACACAGTGCTGTATATATGGGTGTGTGGGTGTGGGTGTGTGTGAGTAGATGTGTAGATATATAGATTGATGGGTAGTTAGTTCCTGGCTTAAATAGATTTCATTAAATACTGTTGACCTTAATTAAATAAAAAATTATAACACTTGATTTTTCTGAGATTTCACAGAGTATTCTGTTTTAGCGCTATGGGAAATATAATCATTTTAGAGTTTGTGTTGGAGAACACCTGGTTTGGAAAGAATGCTGCCTTTGGCTCTTCCACTATTGTCTGGTGACCTTTGCTTGACCTCTCTGGGCCTTAGTTTCTTTGTGTATAAAATGAAGGAGCTGGACTCTAGTTCAGGGATTGGGCAAACTGTGGCTCAGGGGCCAAGTCCAGCTCACCTGCTATGTGTGTTAATCAAGTTTTACTGGAACACAGCCACACTCATTTGTTTACTTATTGTCTATAGTTGCTTTTGCACCACAACAGCAGAGTTAAGTCTGCAACAGAGATCATATGGCTTACAAAGCCTAAAACATTCACCATCTGGTCCTTTACAGAAAAAGTTTGCCAACTCCTGCTCTGGGTGATCTCTAAAGTTCTTTTCAACAGTAATTACATGCTTCTGACTTGTGTCAATTGGCTTTGGTGTACCTTTCTTATAACTTAAGACTTTATAGAAATTGAAAACCTCACGGTATTAAAAACCATTGCCTTTGCAATAGATACTGGTCTCCAAAAAGTTTTTGTATGTATTAGTGTATTTATAATACAGACTATACTGTTCTCAAAAGGGGCTGTTTGTCAATTCTTCTAAATATAGAGTGGCCTTGCTTGCATTAATTGTATGTTAAGTTTATTGGTTATCAGTTATGTCCTTGATAGTTTAAAGTATTTTTTGAAGGAAACACAAATTCTGTCTAAACAGAGCTCACAGTATATCTAGTAAGAGAGATTGAAAGTATGTAAGTAAAAGCTTTCTGAATTAGACATAGATTCCTACCGTTAAAGTCTGAGTAATTGGAAGCAATTGAATGAGCTTGGATTTCTCAAGGAGGGCTAAAAGAGCAATTCTTAAGAAACACTCTGTTTTTACATTTAAGTTTACACTTTAACTTTACTTAACATTAAATTTTGCATAAAAAGTTCCTTTTTAGATTTGATTGGTTTAAGAAACTGACTTCCTGGCAAAATTGAGGGGCACATGCAAAAAATATTAGAAAGAAAAATTTGAAATGTTTAAAATTATATTCAAATTTATATACAGTAGAATTCACTCTTTCTGTTGAATTTTTTGAGTTTTGACAAACGCACAGTTGTGTAACTACTATCAGAGTCAAAATATGTCACCCCCCCCGCAAAATTCCTTGATGCTATCCCTCTGTATGTAACCAGAATGAAGTACTTTTTTTTTTTTGAGGAAGATTAGCCCTAGCTAACTGCTGCCAATCCTCCTCTTTTTGCTGAGGAAGACTGGCCCTGAGCTAACATTCATGCCCATCTTCCTCTACTTTATATATGGGACGCCTACCACAGCATGGCTTGCCAAGCGGTGCCGTGTCCACACCCGGGATCCAAACTGGTGAACCCTGGGCCTCTAAAGTGGAACATGCGCACTTAACCGCTGGGCCACCGGGCCGGCCCCCATGAAGTACTTTTTAATATAGTTTGTACACTCTACTGCCTCATAATCCAATATTGAATAATATAATTTTTGAGGTTAGTGGCCTCAAACTTTCTTTTTTGTAAGCCACATAGTACTTAGAAATAATTGTGGTCTTTTAAATCAAGTATTTTCTAAAAGCTTCCATTCTTTGTCAGAAAATTAAGCATAATAAATAGGGTAAATGTAAATTCCTGGTATTCTGGTTTCCTTTCCACTTTGAAAAGAAGAAATAGACTGTAAACTACTCCCCCCCCCCCTTTTGAAGATATCAATATATTTACCTCTAGAATGTTCCAGATTAGAAGATTTTAATATGTTATCTTAAGTGTAGTGACTTATGCCTACATAAATACTTTTTGGTCAAAGATGATAAGTGAATTTCCAAGGCCCGTATTTGTTCTATGGCTTCTCTTCCGTACAATTCAGAATATAGTTAAACTAACAAAATTGTTTCCCCAAGTTTTTTAATTGACCTTGGGTTGATAAATAAGTACAAAGTCCATTTCTATGATTTCATTATTCATTTTTCTAATTACTATATTATTGTAAAACTCTTCTCTTGTTCAAAAATATAAATTTTTGCAGTTATTGTACATGCACTGAGTACTTTTTTCTAATTTCTTTTTTCTGATTTTAATAATTTAAAAGAGATAACCCCCCACATGCAGTTTATTCTGTATCTTGATTGGAGTCTCATCCCTTGACTTTCTTATTTTCATTGATCCCTTTCTCCATTTACTTTAGTCACTTCCCATGGCCACATTCTAGAACTTGGAAATCGCATTCATACATCCTATGATTGGGATTTTCTTTCTCTTGATTATCTTCTATATTTTCAACTTCACTATCTTCACTAACTTCTTCCTATTATCGTTTAACACATTCAGGTCTTTTCCATTTAAAAATAAAAATGCTGGTCTCCTCTGACTCTATCTTCAGTACCTTTCCACTCTACTGCTCACCCTCCTCCCGTATCTAGTCACACTTTTATGCAGCAGTGTTGATGAGGTGTCTGTTATGTGCCTGGCACTATTCTAGATGCTTGTGATACATCAGTTAACAAAACAGACCCCTTGAAAGTATGGCTACTTTTACTGGCCAGGTTCCCCAGTCCCCCTGCGCCTCATCAGACTGCAGTCTGGCATTCTGCCCCACACTCACCTTACCTGAACAACCTTCTTTTTTGCTGTATCCAGTGGTTTGTTCTCAGTTATTTCACGTGACTTCTCAAATAACATTTGTCTTTCAAACTGTCTTTGCTGGGCTTCTGTGATATCAGACCTTCCTGCATTCTTTTCCTGCCTCTGACTATTCTTTTTCAGTTTTCTTTGCAGGATCCTCTTCCTCTGCCCATCTTTCAGATATCAGTGTTCCTGTCCAAGGCCTACTTCTTTGTTTGGGAAATCTTCTTTGCTCTTGTTTCTTAGCTTTCATGGCTAATTGCTCCAAAGTCTTTATCTCCATCCAAGATTTTTTTGTAGAACCCTGGGCTATTACTTCCAAGCAGCCCACTAGATACCTCTAAGGTGATTTGGGGGGCTTTATACTTGATACCTCTGAAGCTCGGTTCATCGCCATCTTTCTTGTCCTCTCTCCCAAGACTGTTCTTATACCGACATGTACTAACTCAGTAATGAATGTAAATGAATGAGCTCACCATCCACTCAGTTCTCCATCCTAGAGCTCTTTTTCTCCCCTCACAACCAATCATGAAGGCTTATTTGCTCCTTTTCTTAAAAAAAAAAAATCTATTTATCTATCTCTATATGTATCTCCTTCTTGCCTCTGCTTAAATAGCACATCCTTCTCCAAGAATTCTGCTTTGATCCCCTCGTTAAAGCTTAGTTGTCCCTGAAATGTATGTTCTCATGGGACTGCGTTTTATTTATTATGCCACTCTTCATACTCTACTGTAATTTTTTATGTACCTGTCTCCCTGGATAGACTATAAGCTCGATGTGGCCAAGACAACTATGTCTTTTGCTCACTGTTGAGTCTGTAGCACACAACATAGCAAGTAAACGAATGGATCGTTAAATAGTTCTAACAGTTGTATTTCACCTCGAAATCTGTGATTCTTTACCTTTTGGAGTTAAAACTCTTTTACAGGAGAATTTGTAAGAAAGCAGTGTACTTTTGGGAAAATGCACATACAGAAATAGGTAAAATTGTGCATACTTTCTCAAGGGATTAACAGGTAATTCAGAAGCCCATTAATGAACTTAGCTTGAGAACCAATGCTAAAATCCGAATGAGACATCATTAATTTTAAAAACTGTCAGGCAGTTTTTTGCTTATTTTAATAGGTAAAGTTTCCAAATATGTTAGACCTAGATTTCTGCTTGGTTGAAGTCTTGAATAGAAACGGGGCCACTTCAAGTTATGTTTTTCTTATACTTATGAGTTAGTTTTTATTGATACATTTCAAAGTGAAGATTTTGGACAATCCTATTAATTATATATTAAATTTATATATTAGATTTTAAGAGAACTCATCATTGGGAATGTCTAAACTTTAAAAACTACATTATAGGATATGATTCCCATATAGTATATATTCCAAAATTTTTCCCTCTTTAGTATTTACACTTTATTGTATTTAGTTAATGGTTTTTCTACATCTTTTCAATTTTATTGTCTCCTCTCTCATTTTGAAATAAATGAGCATAGCTCTTGCTTTCTGAAAACAATCTAATTGAGATTCTCATTCATTTTTCTCTTGGGCTGCTCACCCAGGGGAATATTCTGGTGTGTATGCTTTTAAATACTTTAATGTTACTGCTTTTTAAGCTAGGCGTTTTTGGCTGCTGTTCTTATTTAATGCTTTCTCATCATTTTTTTCTGCTCAACTATTTTTTTTTTTTGCCCTGCATATATTTTCAGCTTTTATGCTTATCTCCCTATATGTTTGAGAGTTTATAGCAAACATAGTCATTATGTAAGCTTTTTTCAACCAATCTAAACCCGATTTCTTCTGACTCTGTAGCTTTGTTGAAAAGTTAACATTAGTATTTAAAGCAAATATTTCAACATATGTTGCCAAAATTCATTTTGGAATTGGAATTTAGAAACTTTTTTAGTTTGTCTTTGTTTGTAGTTTTTAGAGAATGCATGGATGATTCAGTAAGCTACTATTTCTGATATTTAATTCTTCATGGTAGAAGTACCCTGATCTTTGAGAATATTTGAGATAACTATAATACAGACAAAATATGAGTCCATATGTGAGCGTTGAATTTTTAGCATTCCTAGGTTGGTTTTGTTTTGAATTATCTTTAAGTCTTTTGAAATATTATCCTTTTTAAAATAAAGGGGCATATTAACTCTTTTACCTTATGTAGTTTTCTTTAGAAATATTTCCTTCCTGTTTAGCTGGGTTATGAATATTACTTCTTCCATTGTATGTGATTTTCCAATATTAACTTAGGATAAGTGAGTGGTGGCTTTGCTTTTTTTGTTTTTGTAACTTTTTGAGATATATTCCTCAGTGTATTTGTATTGTTTTATTTCTTCACTTTCTTAAGAGTAGCAAATTAAATAGCTTTCTTCTCTCTAAAGATCACTACATTGGATCTTGCATTGAATGGTCTACCTGCCTGCCTTACAGTACTCATTAAATTATTAAACACGATTCTGTAAAGTGACAACTGAACATTATCATTTCAGAGATGGCACTTTGAAGGAAACTTAATATTATTGATCTGGGGTTTTCAACCTAATTATATTCGATTTTATTGTGCAAAAGAATTGATAAAGCATTTTTTTAGGTATAACATATTAGAGCATCCTTATGAAGGAAATCATCTTAATTTCTGTCTTTTGCACATCTTTATGCATTAAATCATAGCATTGTGATTCCAGATGTTTTTCATATCATGCATAAAACTTTACAGATTAATGATCTATTTTCATGCTGTTTCTTACGTAAAACATTTCTTGTTCTTTGTTTTTGCTTTACATGGAATGCATGGGCTTTAAGACCATAATTTCTTTGGTAAGGTTTCATCTGCATTGGGGTTCTGTCTTTCTTTGGCCTTGTTTCTGCCTGTTCTTTATTAATAAGGCCTAATCTTTAGGCAAAGGCCACAGTACCAGCTGTGATTTGGAAACAATTTCTGATCCATATATGCTATTCTTTTCTTCCCCCTAAATATTGCTACTTTTTAGAATATTTGGCAGAAAAGTCTTGATCCTTTTGAAATATTATCTATGAGAAACTAAATATAGACTAGCTAAGTTATAAAGAATTGACTAATAAAATCTTTAGCTTTATTTTTTGATGGATAATTATTTATAATTTTATAATCCACTCAAGTAGATACAGCAAATGAAATTATAGACAAAATGAGACTACTACAGGACAGATAAAATTTATGAAATAAAATTTGCAACTACAGCTTATTACAAGTTTATATAATTTTTGATAAATTTATTTTCAAAGTTTTTATCCTTTTTCTTTTGATAGGAATGGGTCGTGAAGTTGAGAATCTTATATTAGAAAATACACAACTGTTGGAAACCAAGTAAGTATGTACAAAATTTTAACAAGGATTAAAAGATTCTGAATTTTCTTCTTGTCCAAGTCAGTGACGCTCCTTCAGTTTAACACAGCGCTAATGCAGTCTCACTACCCTATCCCATTCCCCTTCTCTGCGTGTGGGTTTGTGCATGCACGTACATGCAAGCAAATAGGTAATGGGACAAATTTCACTGATGGATATGTTTCATGGCTTTGTTTATTGCAGAAACAGATTTTCATCTCCTTTCTACTCTACACGTATCCATGCATTTCTCTTAATCTTCTGGATGTGTCCTATGAGTTTTTTTGCTCCCTCGCCTTGGTTGTCTATTTTCTTATCTCTTCTCTTGGGGTTTATTTTATTTCTGCATAAATGTTTTGATCTATACCCAGCCTGCCTCTTCAGAGCTCTCCTCCGTAGTTGTATGTTCTCAGGTACAATTTGTGGGGTCTTAGGCCCTCAAACACATTTGAATCTTGTTTAGTGGGTAAGGTCCTGAGTCGTGTGGAAAAACAGATTGGACTGCTTTGTTAATTTGCTGTATATCCAAACAGAATGCAGCTATAATGAGGTCCTATGCCCACTAGACCCAAGAGGAACTAAGTCGTAGATTTTTTTTCAGTTTTTTTCCAGTTTAGATTTTGTTCTCATTAATTATTAAAGGTAAATTCAAGGATTAATTTTAGGTAATTAATTAGGTAATATCTTTTTAGAATTTACTTACAACACTACCCTTATGGATGCTGTTTTTTAAAAGTTTAATCTTACTTAATTCTGACATTTTTATTTGTTGGTGGTCTGCCTTGCTTTACCTGTTTATTCTTCATTTGATAAGCGGGAAGAGTAAATACTTAGGCTGTTCCTCTCTATTTTTTTTTTTTTACCTTTGTCTGCAAACAACATCAGGTAGAATACCTCTAAAGTATTCAATTATTATTCAGCTTTATGATTATGTAGTTACTTTAGTCTACAAGAGAAAAAGCTGAAAGATGGCAAGGATATTTGTTTGTAATGATGCACTTGAAATATGTGTTTCTTAGAAATGCTTTGAATGTAGTGAAGAATGATTTGATAGCAAAAGTAGATGAACTGACCTGTGAGAAAGATGTGCTGCAAGGGGAGCTGGAGGCCGTGAAACAAGCCAAACTGAAGCTGGAGGAGAAGAACAGAGAGCTGGAGGAAGAGCTTAGGAAGTAAGTTTTCGTTATGTTGTTCTGAACCAAACTCTCTTTGCCAGGCTGCCACAAAGGGGTGTAGGGGTACCCTGGGACCCATGCCTTCTGCCCTCTCGAGCCAGGAAGGGCCAGGCGCTGCCTGGCATGGACTGAAGTGCCTGGCTGATTGCCTCTGCTGTGAGCAAGCCCCTCCACTTACTGACTTTTCTCATTTTGTGTATGTCATGATGTGAAAAAAGTTAGGACTGTTCCAATGTTGCTAATAAGGAAATTGGAAACATTCATTTTTTTCCTTCACCCAGCTTTCTGTTGAACCTGTTTTTTTTCTGAGAACAGTGCTATGAGAATGTTCTCCTAAAAGAATACAGCTAAATCCTCTATTTGGAAAAAGAAAAATAGTCATTTAGTGGTGGTTAAAATTTTTGACCTACTCGTTCATTCTTTGAAAGGATGAACTCAACGCAAATAACGTGTCTTGGTTTTTTCCCCTCTAGAGCTCGTGCAGAAGCTGAAGATGCAAGGCAAAAGGCAAAAGATGATGATGATGTAGGTTTATAATTTTGGACTTTTTTTCTTACCTTACCACATTTTGGTATTTTGGGGAAATCTTGCTAATTAAGCTTTGAATATAACATTGTAAAGACAAAAAAGGAAGTCAGAAGACATGTTTATGGTCATGAATAGGATAGCTCATGCTTCCACATGGTATCCAGTGCTCAGCTTTCTAGCTATATGTGTTGTGCTCATTTTTCCTCTGTGACTCTGCTCTGACCTGGGTTTGCATGTTCAAGCTGAAGGACCAACTGGGATATTTTGGAGTTTTTTGTTGTTGTCTGCTTTCTTTCAGATTTTGACCTAGGAATTTGAAAGCTTTATTAATAAAAATGTTCAATAGTATTAAACATAAAAAGATGAATTCTAGAAGTTTAATACTAGGCAATTAGCCCATATTGTTGTCAACATATATAAATATAAAAGAATAAATATGAGCTTCTTGCCAATATTGTTAGCGTACTAGTTATTCGTTCGTAACTAGGTTATCATTCCTGTAACAGATGTTTGCTGATCAAATGTCACACCTGAGAGAGATGGTGTCCTGGACAGAATGATTATTTGGTGCCACTTCAATCTCTTATTTGTATTTTTTTATGTAATATTTGATACATATAAAAAACATGTAACGTGTAAGCTGTGAATAATAACATTACGTTACAATAAATGAACATTGTGAACCTACCACCCAACCTAAGAACTATAACATTATCAGACATTGAATTTACTCTGTGCTCTGCCCCTCCCAAGGAAACTACTGTCTTATATTTCTCAGTTTCTTACCTTTAAAAAAAAAAATGTTATCATGTCACACACATACAAGGTATGGTTTAGTTTTCTTTTTTTTTGCATTTTATACTGTATTTAGTCTTGGTGTTACTGCACAAAAAGGGGTTTCTCTGCCTGACGCACATAAAAAGCCAATAATTACACCACTGGCTGTTGAGAAAAGGAAAGGCTTTATTGCCAGGTTGACCAGCAAGGAGACAGGAGGCAAGCCTCTCAAATCTGTCTCCCACATCCAGGACTTGGGGCACAGTCTAAGAGGTTAGGGGGAGCAGGCTGTTATGCAGAAGCGCTGATGGGGCAGGTTTTGATTGGAGGACTTTAAACATTTATGGTAAGATGTAGAAGGGGCATTAACACTGAATCTTCCTAGACAGCAGACCCCTTGTTTCTGATGAGTCCAGCTTTCAAGTTCCAGTCCTTTGCTTCCGTGGGGGGCAGAATCTTTGGTTGACAGTATTATTTCAGGTCAAGATTTTCTCCTCTGCGCACACTCTGGCTACATGGCTTGTAATTTTTGGCTCTGTACAGCTTTTAACACTCTGTTGATAAGATGGGGTCAGTTTGAACTAGTCCCGTGGTTACATTGGAGACTTGCTTCTTTTACTTAGTATTATGTTTTTGATATCCACCTGTGTTGTAGTATAGTGCTGTAGTTCATTCATGTTCGCTGCTTTATAATACCCCATTATATGAATATATGACAGTTTTTGTATCTGTTTTCCTATTAATGTTTAGGTTGTTTTCAGCTTTTACAACCATAAACAATGTGATTGTTATGAACGTTATGGTACAGGTCTCCTGGTTTCTCCAGGTTATGTACCTGGTAGTGGGATTGCTATGTTGCAAACACAAAGTCCTTTAATCATTTGTTCTTTAACTTTTGTTTAAAGGAGAGGCCAAGTTCTGTGGCAGGAGGACAAAGGAAGAGACTGCTGAGGGCTAAGCTCAGTCTCTTTCTTACTGTCCCAAGCCTTTCAGCTTTGATCCAAAATGTGCATACTCCACTCAGTAAAATAAAAGCCCTACTGTTAAACCAACCTTCCTCTCAGAAGAGCCTTTAGAAACCAGCAAGAGAAGCAAGTTGACTGGAGCATGGCCTTCTGGGTTTTACCCTATTCACATTCCCTATTCTCCCTAAGAAGAATTCTGGTTAATAGAGTGGTCTCCATCTTAATTGTATTAATTAGAGTTGGGTACCTTGGTAGTAACTTTCCAGTAAGTTTACATTTTGCACTGTCCTTGGGTGTATATATGGATTGGTAGTTTGATAAATGAACCCCTTTTGGAACTAACTTGTAACTAATTTCTGAATAACTAGCATTTGTTATAGAACATGAATTTAAAATAATGTTGTTAGAGCAACATTTCCAGGTGACCATTTTAAATCTATGTAGATAACAGTTAACTTTCTTCATTTTAGTTCAAAATCTGCACTATTCTTTGTATTTCCTTTATAATACATTCAAATATCTGTATTTATATTCAGAAATTAAATCGTCTACCTCTTTTCAGTCATAAGTAATTATTTAAATCTCTTTATTGATTTTATTTTTATAAAGCCATTTTTATTTAAGTGATTCATTAGTTTATAAATTAAAGAACGTTTAAAAGCTTAAAGATTTTGCTTAAGTCTGAGATAATGCCAAAACAGATAAAGGCTTCCGAGTGATCTATAGTCTTTTTTTCATTATAGAGTGATATTCCCACAGCCCAGAGGAAGCGGTTTACTAGAGTAGAAATGGCCCGAGTTCTAATGGAGAGAAACCAGTATAAAGAGAGATTGATGGAGCTCCAGGAAGCTGTTCGATGGACAGAGATGATTCGGTTCGTATGAGAAGTTCCTCTGATGTTTTCTACTGTTGTTTCCTAGGTTTGCATATTCCTTCATTCACAGCTAGAGTCCTTCTTGGGGATCCAAGGCCCTTACTCTGTTAATAGGAGAGACTTTCTAAAGTTACACTTGAAATTAGTAACAAAATGCGATCAAAGTGGGTGTCTTTTGGGCCAGTAAGGGCTCTTGAAAAATGTTTAGAAGTCCCAGGACTTCTAAAAGGCAATTGTGATGAACTTAGGGATGATAGTCATTTTTCAAAAGAAAATTTTCATTTTTCAAAATAGAAATTGACACTACTTTTGCAGTAAAGTTAGGAAAAGATATAAATTTCATCTATCACATAGGAAACTAAATCATTTTTACTTAGTATCTTCCTATAAAATACTCTTGCTTGATTTTCCTCCCTTTCTGACTATTCATGCAAAATGCAACTTCTGTTGACACCTATGTCAATTGGATCTTAAGTCTCACCTAGTGCTGCCATCTAACGGTCATATTCTTAGTAACAGTATTCCTTACTTTAATTTAGAAAAAGCTTATGAAAAGTTTGTAAATTAGTTGCCACCTAATTTGCCCAGATTTTTTAGTTTGGATTGTCATATCAGATTTACCAGTAACGGTGCACAACTGACACATTGTTTTAAAGTTTATGAATGTATTTCCTAACCTCCAACTTTTACTTCCTTATGATTTTATCATTTATTTAACAATTTATATATCCTTTACCAGAGTCATATGAGAACAAAGTATTTCATATAGCACATTTACAGTTTTGAAAAATTGTAATTGCTTATAACTGCTAAGAAGGAAGGAGATCAATACTCTAATCTTTATTTATTGGACAAAGAAACTAATGTACTAAGAAGTGTGTTCTTAACTCCAGCATTTAATGGGTACTATAAATAATGAATAAATATTTTAAAAACTGAGGCATGTAGGCAGGTTCCACTTCTCATAACTATTTTTAATTCTAGCAGCCAAGTGGTAGTCAGCAAGTGAAAAGAAATGGTAACTTACTTTTAACTTTTTCCATTGAATTACAAAATGTTTTTAAAACATTAAAAAAAAATTTTTTTAAATGGTGGAAAGGGGGCCCTGATAGTGGTGACAAGATTCTTACCCCCTTGCTAAATCAGCTTGGAATGCCTTATTTTCTGAAATTTTGTTGAATTACCTATCAATCCACTTTATCCCTTTCCCTGATCGTCTTTTCAGTGATGGAAGAGTTTTAGTCCTGTGAAAAATGACCCATCAGAACAGTCAAGTTACAAGCTGTTTTGTGAGAGCTGGGAGTTAAAGCGATAGAGACCTTTATGGGAAGACAGGGATTTACAAGGCAATATTTTGCTAAAAGGGAGAGTTGGAGGATATCGCTTCAATAAAAATTTTTTAATATTAACATTCAGGCATGTTGACTGTCCAGCACAGGTGACAGCCTTGTCTCTCTCCGTAGATGGAGCTCTCTGAGGAAGGGATGATATGTTGTTTACCTTTGTCGGACGAGCCTTAGCAGACCGCCTGACTCGGGATGGGCCACTTACCATTTACTGAGTTTAGTTGTTGACTCTCCTCTGTGTATCCCATGAACTTCTTGGGTTGCTTGTTTTTCAGATAGAAAGCTAGAACATCTCACTGATAACACAATTTTTCTTTCTTTTTTTTCCTTTTTTAATGTAGAGCATCAAGAGAAAATCCAGCCATGCAGGAAAAAAAAAGGTCAAGCATTTGGCAGTTGTAAGTATCTAACAACACATAAAGACATTAGACAGCACTTTGAGGCAAGAAGATTACAGTCAAAACTTATTTGTAAGAATGATTTTGTGTCTTCTTTCTTTCGCAAATGTGGGGTATATAGCTAAACTGAACTTCTTCTTTTTGATACTTAGTGTGCCAGCTCGGTAAGGCTGTTCTTGAGGACAAAAAATAATGCTATCGTAAGCTGCATCATGTTGGTTATGCATTTGGTGGAATCCTCTGCTAAATTAAATAAAATAATGGGGAATTATTCGTAGAGTTGATAATTACCTGGCTCCTCATTAAATAAGTTACTGATTCACTGGTTGTGTGATTGTAAGGAACAGGGTGAAGATTAGAAATTTAGTATTTGTGGGGTTTGAGTAGTGTGTGTTTATGTGTTTTGGACTTGAATTATGTTTGTGCCAGAAGTACTGTGCATTTACTTTGTTGAAAACTTACCCCTTTTTGGTAAATCTGCTACTTTATAGAAGTGTTGAATTTTTTTTTTTTTTGAGTGATGTGAAAATAGTTATTTAAATTGAGCTTAATAAGAGGGTATATAAGATGTATGTTAAAATGGTAATATGTGTTCTTGTACTTTATTATAACTATTTTAGAACTGGCATACTAAGCTTCTGTTCAAACCATGCAGCCATAACCTTGCTGTTTAACAACCAGTCTTACTTTGCACCAAGTTGGAGCTAGCTAAGAGTACCATCTTATTTTATTTCTTCATTACGAAAAGTTCCCTGTACTTAAGAGCTTCTTCCTTTCATTATGGGAATTGTTAATTAAAGAAGAGGAATCTGCTACTCTAAGCAATAGTTTCTCTTTCCTGAATGTCTGAGTTTGGCTGTGAGTTATTGCTAAGGCTGCAGTGTGTGATAACAAAAAATCTTTTTGCAGCTTCTAACCCATTGCCTTGTAAAAGCACTCTGGAATTTGTGGGAAATTATGGATTTTTCTTCACAGTGCATGTAATGCATACAGTTAAGCACACAAACACACATAGACTTTTTTTCTTTTTAGTTTTAGCCGACTTTTCAGCTCCTCAAGTAATACTGCTAAGAAGCCCGAACCACCTGTTAATCTGAAGTACAATGCACCCACCTCTCATGTTACTCCTTCCGTCAAGAAAAGAAGCAGCACCTTATCTCAGCTCCCTGGGGATAAGTCCAAAGCCTTTGATTTCCTCAGTGAAGAGTAAGTACTTTCCAGACTAGTGGTTATGCCCTAAATAAGTTAACAGTTCAGAATATTCTTGCCCCTGATCAGATCAGCTATAAGGGTTCAGATAAATCTACAAAGAAACTATGTCTGTAACTTGGCTACCTTTAAGTAAATTACTCATAGTCGACACCTTTTATGAAAATTGCATTTCACAGTTTTCCAAAGAGAAGGATTTTTTTTAATGTCTCATTTTTGGTATGACAACAGTGGTTAATGTTAATAGAAATGTTAAAAGCCTGTATTAACCTTTATCCTAATGTTTGAATATTTTGTTTGGTGTCAATAAGACTTGGTTTTCCATCCTGACTCTGCTACTCATTAGGTACATGAACTTGGGCAAGTTAACCTCTCAGAGCCCCAGTTTCTTTGCCTATAAAATGAGTGTGATAACCTATCTCAGAGGTATTAGGATTAAATTATATCGTGTCTATGAATTATCTGACACAAAGGTAATTTTTTGTTGTTGTTTTTGCTATTTTAGCAGGAGAGGGGAGATAAGCTGTTTTATATTCACTTAATTAAGAAAAGAAATTTCTTTTCCTTTTAGAACTGAAGCTAGTTTAGCCTCACGAAGAGAACAAAAGAGAGAACAGTATCGCCAGGTGAAGGCGCATGTTCAGAAGGAAGATGGTAGAGTGCAGGCTTTCGGCTGGAGTCTGCCTCAAAAGTACAAACAGGTGACGTGTGCCCGTGGGAAGAGTTTCTGGGGGAACATGCAGGGAGAGAAGAGTGTGCCTGTGCACGAAGAGATCGAAACACATACCCCAGACCTGCTCGGTTCAAACTGCATAGGCTTGGCAAACATTTAGAGAAGTGTTGGGGGCAGTGCTTTTCAGGCTATTTTAGAAAACAGCCCTAGAGCTCAGAAGAAATGCCTCTGAGTCTGTGAGAAGGGAGAGGGGTCGACGGGTGGTGGGGTCGACGGGTGGTGGCCGAGTGCGTGGAACTTGAGGTATCCTGCTCTGTTGGAATATCTGAAGATTTTGTTTTTTAAAAAAACAGCATCTATTGTTTACAAGTTTTAAAAAGACATTGTCGTGGAGCCTTTCAAACTGTTGACTTAAAACTCAATTCAGGTCTTCAGGAACTTTACCCATCTATTCTGTATTCCCTACCTGTAAATGACTCAACACATGCGTACACACACGCACACTCACTCCCTCCCACACACACACGAATTAGTGTGTCTCTTCTGAGCTCCCATAGCATCTTGTTTATTTTCTCTAATTGCCACTTGATTTTTTCTTATTTTTCAAATAAGAGTGACAAAATTAACTTGAACTTGATTTCAAAGAAGAAATATGTAACAGCAGCGCTTGCTCATGTCTCAATGTTTCTGTCAGTTCACTTTTGATGAGGCTCACCGATGGCCTTCTCTCCCCTTCCCAATTATTAGGTAACCAATGGTCAAGGGGAAAATAAGATGAAAAATTTACCTGTGCCTGTTTATCTCAGACCTCTAGATGAAAAAGATACATCGATGAAGGTAAATTAATTTTGAAGTTGAAGGAAATGTTTCGTAAACTCTGGGTGGATCTTGTTCCTAAACCAAAAGTGTTTAAGTTCTACTTCTATGGATGAAGTTATTGTTCATTTTGTAGTTTTAGACTGGAATACTTTGAATATTAAAGGCTATGTTTATAATCATTAGATTTTTTAAAGAAATGTGAAAAGTTCTAAACATTTTTAAAGAGAAAATTGCTTAATACCTTTTTTATTTTTTAACCCAAAAAGCTGTGGTGTGCTGTTGGAGTCAATTTATCAGGTGGGAAGACCAGAGATGGTGGTTCTGTTGTTGGAGCAAGTGTATTTTACAAGGATGTTGCTGGTTTGGATGCAGAAGGCAGTAAACAGCGCAGTGCATCTCAGAGTAGTTTAGACAAGTTAGATCAGGAACTTAAGGTGAGTGCGTGCACTAACGTTTGACCTCCTTGGTTCTGAGACTATTAGTTTAGCTCTTGGATCCAAAACTTACTTCTGGATCCAACTTCTAATTAGGATTACTCTGTCCTTGCTTACTCCTCACCCTCTCTCTCTTTTTAAAATCAGTTTTACTGAGATATATTTTACATACAATAAAGTATGTATTTGAAATGGGTACAGTTCAAAGAGTTTTGACAAATGTATACACTTAGGTGACAACCATCACAATCAAGATATAGAACATTTTTATCACTAATCTGCTTTAACTGCTAGTTTTTAGTCTAATTAATATAGAAAGGTGGTGTATTTTCAGCTTTTCAAATAATCTGGAAATAAACTTGAAATATTATTGCCCTTTACTATAATGGCACAGCCTTATGAATATTTACATGTACATATCATTTTAAACATTCATTTTTCTTACTTGGCCTACACAGGAACAGCAGAAGGAGTTGAGAAATCAAGAAGAATTATCCAGTCTAGTCTGGATCTGCACCAGCACTCATTCAGCTACGAAAGTTATCATTATCGATGCTGTTCAACCGGGCAACGTCCTAGACAGTTTCACGGTTTGCAACTCTCACGTTCTGTGTATAGCAAGTGTGCCAGGTAAGAGTGAGTCGTGCACCTCTTCCCACCGTCCACACCTCCTTCCTGGCAGGAACTGAGTTGGTTACTGGAGATATAGTTATGAACCACTTTCATGGAATTTATGTTCTATTTGGGGAAGACCAAAAAAAAAGTGGAAACAAATGACTAAATAAGATATTTTGGGATGTTTTGAAGAAAATAAAACAATGGTAATATAGGAGGCAGAGGACAAGGAGCTGTTTAGATTGATTAGTAAGGGAAGGCCTTCCAAAGTTCGGGATTAAATATTACATCATGTGAAAACATTAGTTTAAAACTTAAAGAGCTTCCTGATACATCTACACAATGGAATATTGATAAACCATAAAGAGACATGAAATTCTGATACATGCTACAGCGTGGATTAACCTTGGAAACATTATGCAAAGTAAAATAACCAAACACAAAGGGACAAATATTGTATGATTCCACTTATATGCGCCATCTAGACAAGGCAAATTCATAAAGACAGAAGCAGGTTAGAGATTGCTGGGGCCAGGAGACCTTGGGGAACAGGGAATTACTGTTTAATGGGTACAGATTTTCTATATAGGGCGATGGAAAAGTTTTAGGCATAGATAGTTGTGATGGCCTCACAACATTGTGAATGTGATGCCGCTGAGTTGTACACTTAAAAATGGTTAAAATGGCAAATTTTATGTTATATATATATGTATATTTTACTACAATAATATTTTTAATGTGGTATAAATAAAAACAGCTTTCTACATAAAGAAAACTGAAGAGATTCATCTTTATGTTGTAGATGCTTCATTTTTAAGTGTCTTACTAATATCTTATGACACTGTGTACACCTAAGGGGATTAATTTTCATTTTTTTTCCCCCTTTTTTTTTAAGATTTTATTTTTCCTTTTTCTCCCCAAAGCACCCCGGTACATAGTTGTGTATTTTTAGTTGTGGGTTCTTCTAGTTGTGGCATGTGGGATGCCACCTCAGCATGGCTTGATGAGCGGTGCCGTGTCCACACCCAGGACTCAAACTGGCAAAACCCTGGGCCGCTGAAGCAGAGCACGCGAACTTAACTGCTCAGCCACAGGACCAGCCCCTAATTTTTTTTTTGTTTCAAAGATCTTATTTTTCCTTCTTCTCCCCAAAGCCCCCCAGTACATAGTTGTATATTTTAGTTGTGTGTCCTTCTAGTTGTGGTGTGTGGGACGCCACCCCAGCATGGCCTGATGAGCAGTGCTAGGTCCGTGCCCAGGATCCAAACTGGCAAAATCCTGGGCCACTGAAGCAGAGTGCATGAACTTACCCACTCAGCCACAGGGCCAGCCCCTGATTAATTTTTAAATAGTGGTGGAAGTCCATATTTCAAATAGTAATCTTGATAGTTAAAAAAATTTTTTTGGCTGCCTTGTCAGATATAATTAAATTTCATTGTTTTTAACCTCATGTTAGGTGACTGCTGAGGAGCTCGTGTTAAGAACAGAAGAGTCATTTCTGACATTTTCATGTTTACTTCTGCTTGCATTAATAGAAGTATTATCTTAATCTTTTAAGCTACTATCTCATTTTGTGAAGGTTAATTGAAATAATATTTAAAGTTGCCATCTTGGCAGTAGATTCAAATAGCTATTTGTCTCCCCTGCACACTCTTATTTCAGACCTATAGTTGCCTTAATGGAGAAAATGCTCTTTACAGGAGTTTACTTAGCTATTGAAAGAAGGTTGATCTTGTTTTTCAGGAGCGCGAGAAACAGACTACCCTGCAGGAGAAGAGCTGTCAGAATCAGGACAGGTTGACAAAGCGTCTTTATGTGGAAGCATGACAAGCACTAGCTCAGCAGAGACAGACAGCCTGTTGGGAGGCATCACGGTGGTTGGTTGTTCCACAGAAGGTGCGACAGCAGCTGCCACTTCCCCTAGTACCAATGGTGCTTCTCCGGTGATGGAAAAACCACCAGGTATCTCTGTCCTCCTTATGTACTATCTCTATAGGGTCCAAGCCTATCCCGGATGCCTCATGATGGACTTAGTTTAGATCTTAAAGTGACAAGGATGAAAGAGCTTGAAAGAAGATGCTGTCATTGACTGTTAAATGAAGTCAGGAATTCTCAATTTCATGATAAAGTGTGTGTAGAGGGGGAGGCAGAATGGAATTCGATAGCAGAGGTTTGTGTGGTGAAATTATTGGAAGAAAGCTCAAACTTGGAATAGTTAGCATGTTTTATTTATTCCATAGAAAAGGAAGCAGAAAATAGTGAAGTTGATGAAAATGTTCCAACAGCAGAAGAAGCAACTGAAGCCACAGAAGGCAATGCGGGGTCAGCTGAAGACACTGTGGACATCTCCCAAACTGGCGTGTACACAGAGCATGTCTTTACAGATCCTTTGGGAGTTCAAATACCTGAAGACCTCTCGCCAGTCTATCAGTCAAGGTACACAAATGGGTCAACAACTTAGGAAACCACATAAGGACACACATAAAAGGAAGCAAAATCATCTCAAGCAGCCAAAATATTCCCACTAATTGGCATTGTTCTGGCAGATTTAGATGCCATGACTTATTCCCACTATATCTTCATCTATTCCACTTGATTCTCTCTGGATATTTTTTTCCCATTTATTCTCTGTTCCTCCCAACTTAAAATGAAGTATCTTAATCAAAATCTTCGTGGTCACTTTCTCCTCGGTGTGATTTTTTTTTCTTTTGAATTGTTATACTCACTCTTCCATTCTGTCAATAACTTTGCCGTTTTAATCCTCGTGCCTGCTTTCACTCCCACTCTAGTTATCAGCAGAAATTGGCCATTGTTTCAATTTGCCATTATTTCAGTTTCCCCTGGGGGCTTGAATGACCTTTTTGATTTTAGTTTTCTGGCAAACATTTTATTAAAAAACAATTTGTTTTAGGTTCTTCCTTTAAAAGACTGGTGAATCAGGCCCCATTTAGTGAATTCTTTAATCTTCTTTCTTGCTTTCTCTAGGCCTGACAGAAAGGCGATGAGGGTCCATCTAAAATGGATCCTTTTTACAATTTAATATTCTTCCTCTTAGTGTATAGAGCAACCAAGTGCCTATTAACATTTAATTGTTAATTTAAGAATAAAGACTTTTTTTATAATTAGTAGGTTGATTTGTGTGTTTTGAATTTGATAACCCAGTTATACCTTTTTCTAAATGTGCTCTGAAAATCCAAAAGAAAGAAAGTTTTGGGGTAGAATACATGTATATTTCAACTTACTAATTTATTTTAGAAAATTCTTTATACTTCATCCCCCATCTGTGTGTGTGTGTGGTTTTAAAACAAACTGTCCCTCCCTCTTCTCTCTCCCCAGAAGAAATCCATAAAATTCAGAATAACTGTAAGGGAGAACCATCATTGTAGTCTGGATTAACTGCTGCAATTCATTACCATGTCTTAACTCTCTTATCTGCACCTTGGGCCTCCTAGTATATTAATGGTACTTCTGGTACACTTGTTGAAATATTTAATGTAAGCATTTAACTTTGGCTTTTCTGGAATTTTAGTGTTTGATCTGTTTTTTTTTAACTGTAAACTAAAGCATAAGAATGATCAATCTCTGAAAATTGTAGGTAAGCATACTCAGATTTTTTTCCTTTTGCCCCACCTTTCCCAGTAATGACTCAGATGTGTATAAAGATCAAATACCAGTATTGCCAAATGAACAAGACTTGGTGAGAGAGGAAGCCCAGAAAATGAGCAGCCTTTTACCGACTATGTGGCTTGGAGCCCAGAATGGCTGGTAGGTGCCAACTCTTTATATTAGCGTGTCTTTAGTCTTTTACTTTTGCTTTTGAAATCAGAAGATAAATAAGTAAACTGTGGTACATACAATGCAAACAACAAGTACACATTAAAGCAAACACTTATATATATACACATTTTGAGGTTATATTGCAACTACCTCATAAACTGGACTTGCATTGGTTCTAAATGGTAAACCATATGTTTCTTTGTCACAGAGCATTCCCTTTATATAATATTCTTAGAAGAAGAGGTAAATAAAACTTTAAAATCTGGGTGATCCAGAAATAGAAGATCCTGAACAGCATAGAGGCAGAGAATGATTTATGCATAGAAGGTTTATATAGGCTAGAGTGTGTTCAGGAAATACCGGGAATTAATTACTAATGTATCTGGCTGCAGAAAGGCCCAATTCCAAACATGACTTCTTAAGCAGTTCCTAGGAAAACCAGAACAAATCACAGTCTGGAATCTTAGGAGATGATAACTAATATTATGTGGTCTGTTCACTTTCTAGTAGTGTGGGGAGTCTTCCAAAATTGTGCTTTTCCAAAGGTTAAGCAAGCTCACTAGTGCGTGTTTTCCATAGGGGTCTAGTCCTACAAAATGAAGGGTTGGCAGGATTTTTCCATGAAGGGTCAGATAAGAAATATTTAGGCTTTGTGGCCATATGATCTCTGTAGCAACTTGTCAACTCTGTTGTGGTGCAAAAGCAGCCATTGTGTTAACAATACATGAGTGAATTAATGTGGCTATGCTCCAATAAAACTTTATTTTTGGACACTGAAGTTTGAATTTCATATAAATCTTGTATGTCTTCTTCTGACCTTTCCCAAACGTGTAAAAACCGCTTTTAGTTGCAGACTGTACTGAGACAGGTAGAGGGCTGGATTCGGCCGTGAGCCACAGTGTGCCACTCCCTGGAATAAACCGCTCTGTCATCAGAGAGTTACAGTTCAGCATAGTAGAAAAGTACGATCGTTTTTTTCTTTAAGTACAATAATTTTTAAAAAAAGATTTTAGCTAAGGGCTCTGAAGTATGGGGTAGCCTGAAACTAACTGACCATGCATTATTCTAGTTCTGACTTTTCACTTTTCATGTGTTTCTGTTGCTAAAGCAGCTTATTTCTCTGCCCTAGGCCTATGCTTACTCTCCTTGCTGTTTTTGCCCCAAATTTTTATGTTACTCTTCTTTCCTCCCGAGGGACCTTTGTGGTCATTAGTAGATATAAGGAATGACTTGATGTTCTCTATGCCTTACCAGTCTTGATTTTGTTCTTGCAGTTTGTATGTCCATTCATCTGTAGCCCAGTGGAGGAAATGTCTCCATTCTATTAAACTTAAAGATTCGATTCTCAGTATTGTGTAAGTTTTATTTTAGAAATTCTTCCTTTTAAAAATATGTGTTTTGGTACAAACTAGATTTTAAGACTATTAAAGCTAACATGTACTTCTTGACTAAATCAGCATCCAGATTTTTTTTTACCCTCTTTATGGAATTAGATAAGTTGAGTGAGATTGAAACTCTAACTAGAAAGTAAAATAGAAAACTTTAAGTAGAAGAGAAAACTTGCCAGGTTGATTCCTCACCATGTGGTGAATTCTTTAATACTTTGAGGAGAGAACCAATTAATACCTGTTAATTTATATTTGTTTTAGAATATTCTTTATATTTTGTGAATATGTTGGTTGGGGCATTCATTTACTTAGTCCTTTTCTATATGTTGACTATCAAAAATCAGACCGTTTGTCTGTTAAGTTCACAGAGCTGATTCTGTTAGTTCCACTCAAGGTGTGTGTCTCTGGTCTGTGGACCTTTTGTCAATAGTCTGCAATGAGGAGCTTGGACCAGAAAGTGAAACAACTGTCACCACACATGCTGTTTATTTAGTTCAGCGGACATTTTCATAGGAAGACGTCCTCAATGAAGAAAAGAGTGTGTTCATTTAGGTTCTGGTGTAGGCTCCTTATCTGTCACAGATTGGCCCTTGGAGAGCCTCTGAACTAGTTCAGTGGCATGCGGTCCCTTCCGTACTCCCGAATGGAAGTTCTGAAATCCCTTTCCCTGTTGCAGACATGTGAAAGGAATCGTGTTGGTGGCCCTGGCTGATGGTACCCTTGCCATCTTTCACAGAGGAGTCGGTAAGTTGTTATGAATGTATAACATCTACATCAATGTGTTGCTTTGCAAAAGCATTTTCAAGCAGATTGGCTTCTTATATTTAAATAAATGATAGTTAATAGGAGAAGGAATAAAGGTTTAAACTGAATGGTAACAACATATGACATCAGTAAATATGTGAGTGCCTGCCTGGGGGCATATGTTAATAGTTTATATAACTCAGGGAAAATATGTTTACCATAACGAACAAGTCGCTTGTCATTTCATGGTACTCTTATATAATGTGACATGGAGACATTTATTTTTCATCCATATATTTATGAGGAAAATTTAGTGAGAGACTACCTTTTCTTTTGTTCAGTATTTTAAAAATAATTTGCATCCCTTACATCTGGAAAGTTCCTATAAAGAACTTTTAATTGGGTAAGGTTTAATCATTTTCATGTCATGTTATTTATATTCTTCCCCTTTAAAACCAGTGTTTCCATCATCTATAGATGAAAAGGTGGTGGTGTCAGAAAACCTGCACTGAGTTAATTAAGTTGAGGGAATTGAGCGTGTAACACTTCATAACTCCTTGGTATATGTATCAACCAAAACTGATAATTTATTTCTACCTACTAGATTGGTAGATCAAGGAAATATTATATAAACACAAATACACCGAATTCAGATTTTAGCAAAGCTTTCCCCAAAGTCTCATATCCTTTTGGGCTTGGAGAAATGTGGGGTAGATGGTACTTGGGCACCTTTGTAGCTGGCCATTGCCTAGAGATTGCTGGTTTATGACTCCATGTCTTCCAAGAGCGAGAGGGCTCTGTTTCACCTTATTCAGACCCTTTACAGACTTTCTCTGAGTTTAATCCTCTTAGCAAATTAAGGGAAAGGTTCTGATGTCATCCTCATTTTATAGATGAGAAAACTGAGGCACGGAATGTTTTAATCACTTGTTTGTGGTCACTCAGCTAATAAGTGGAAGAGCCTAGAAAAAATGGAATAATAAATGTTTTGGTAAACTGAATCCAAAATTATATTGACAGAACAGACAAAATACATTTAATAAAGATAAATGTAGAGTCCTGCATTTGGGTTCAGAAGAGTAAGATGAAGGAGACATGTCTGAAGAGTGAGAATTACCTGAAGATTGACTACAAACTGAATACAAGTTAGTTAACATCTTAAGCCTCCTAGAAACTGGTGTCCAGAATAGGGCCAATGATAATACTGCTCCACTCTGGTAGGTAGACAACATATTAAATGGATGTGGACAAAGCAGAGTTAGGATGAAAGGTCTATAAACTGTAGTATGTACAAAATACGTGCCAAGGATGCTTGGAAAGAAGCCATAGGGCAGTAACAAAGAAGCGGGACTGGATTTATTCTGTTTCCATTGGGCAAAATTGCAGACTAAAGGGCGATTACATACAAAGAGACAGACTTTACCTAGGTACAGGGAATATTTTTCAGACAATTATAGCTTTCTGAAAATGGAACAGCTGCTTTGTGAGACAGTGCACTTTCTTTCACTGAAATTGTTCAAGCAAAGCTACAAGGAAAAGCAAGCTTCCAGTGGTTGGTTCTCATTTGTATTTCTGTCATCACCAGAATTATAGTTTGCATAATTCCTAAAGTGTTAGCAGTGAGTTGCCTTTGAATTCAAGAAACTACATCAAAATGCAAGTGAGTGAGAGATTATCCAAAAAATAACCTTAAATCTATTCTAATTCTTAAAATATTATTATAAACTGATAACTTATAACTAGTTTATCACATGACTGCTGTTGAGAGCATGGGGTCCAGGTACTAGGTGGCCAGATGACCTTTGCTTCCCCAACTTTGCAGTTTATAGAATAAGAGAACACAGTCTCTGCAAATAAAAGATACACTGAATACACGTATTTTGGGGTGCTTCATCAATAAATTTCCTTATACACCCAAATAGAATGTTTCTTGTGTTAAAATTGAGTAAAAAGTGTGTGCATTAGCTAATAATCATATTTCTTATTTTAAAGACGGGCAGTGGGATTTGTCAAACTATCATCTGTTAGACCTTGGACGGCCTCACCATTCCATCCGATGCATGACTGTGGTACATGACAAAGTCTGGTGTGGTTACAGGAACAAGATCTATGTGGTTCAACCAAAGGCCATGAAAATAGAGGCAAGTTAACCCATGTTTTCTGTACTTATTGAATTTGAATTATCTGAAGACTTATTCTTTTCAGCTTCTTTAGGAATTGTTTTCTGAGTCGTGTGTTTTAGGGCGCTTTGAGGATGCCTTGGATAGCATCTTAGCTTTCCGTGTTGCTTCACTGCTCTTGCCACTTTTGACTATGAGGGTGGGAAGTAGTTTTTTTAAAAAAGGAAGAATATTGACCCATGATTGTTTAAATGTGTGTCTGAATATCCATAGATGCCTACGTGTATTCTTTGAATATGTGGTTGTTTTGTTTTGTTTTGTTTTGACTTTTTGTTTTATTCTTTTTTTGAAAACTGGCACCTGAGCTAACATCTGTTGCCAATCCTTCTTCGTCTTCTTCTCCCCAAAGCTCCCCAGTACGTAGTTGTATATCCTTCTTTGGGACGCCACCTCAGCATGTCTTGAGCGGTACTGTGTCCGCACCCAGGATCCGAACCAGTGAAACCCTGGGCCGCCAAAGCGGAGCATGTGAACGTAACCACTCGGCCACGGGGTCAGCCCCGTGAATATGTGGTTCTTGATCTGTTTAGTTATGTATGAATTGTTTGGGAGGAAGATTCCCAAGTCTCCACCACCCCCTGTGTATCTGGGCGAATCCATTTGTATGTCACAGACTGAGAAATAAGATAGCAGTGAGAATTTGTTGTAAAAAGAAAAACCTCTTAGCATTGCTTTCTTAAAAGTTTTGCTATCATATATAAATTGATTCTAATTGTTTAAAAAAAAGAAAAACTTACAGCAGGAAAATTTTAAGGTAAAAGTTCTCCTTCTCCCTTTGACCCAAAACCCATTCCCTTCCCTACAAGTCCCAAAGTAACCATTTGGTGTCTTTTTTCCAGATTTGTTCTGTAAATGTAAAAACACACACACACACACACACACACACACACACACACACACACGGAGCAATGTAGGTTCCTTTCTGTTTAATTATAAATAGAATCTTACTTTGTATATTGCTCTGCAACCATACAAAATCCTGAGATCAAATTTAGTCTTTTTGTTGAACACTGTTACATAGTATGGATGTGCCTGTATTGCTTTCCTAAGTTGATATACTGTAAAATGCTGAAATCCAGCATCCTTTAGTTGTTTGTTCTTGATTTTGTTTTGCAGTTCAGGATAAAAGTAGTTGTGTCTGTATATAAGAGTAATCATATTTAAAGTGTAAACAACACTTAGACTCCTCTTTTCATATATAGTCTGCCAAATTGTTGTGCAACTTAGCACAGTTTTTAAACATGAACTCCTATGTAATAAAAGTAATATTGTGCCTGAACAATCTTTCCTAGAAATCATTTGATGCACACCCCAGGAAGGAGAGCCAAGTGCGGCAGCTTGCATGGGTGGGTGATGGCGTGTGGGTCTCCATTCGTTTGGATTCCACGCTCCGTCTCTATCATGCACACACTTATCAACACCTACAGGATGTGGACATTGAGCCTTATGTAAGCAAAATGTTAGGTAAGCTTCCACAGCATTTTATCTTTGTCAATCAAAGAAAATTCTTTTTGTTTTTGTGTGTGAGGATGATTGGCCCTGAGCTAACATCTGTTGCCAACCTTCCTCTTTTTGCTTGAGAAAGGTTGTCGCTGAGCTAACATCTGTGCCAGTCTTCCTCTATTTTATGTGGGATGCTGCCACAGCATGGCTTGACGAGCAGTGCTAGGTCTGCTCCCAGGATCCAAACCTGGGAACCCTTGGCCACCAAAGTGGAATACACGAATGTAACCACTATGCCACTGGGCCAGCCCTGAAAATGTTTTATTTTTAAATGGTCTCAAATGCTCAGTAGAACCAACGAATAAATTGCCTCAGGAATAGTGATCTCTTCTCACTGAAACTATCAGGCCAGATGCTCTATCTACCTTGTGGCTATTGACAGAAATTTAGGATCATTTTTGACTCCTCTCTTATTCCCCACATCTTGAATCAATCACCGGGAACTGTCAAGTCTGCCTCCAAAAATATCTTAAATCAAGTACTTCATCTCTACCACTATCCCTGTAGGCCAGGCCACCATCCTTTCTCCGCTGGATAACCATGAACCTTGGAGCTGGTTCTCACTTCCACTCCAGTCTGTTCTCTGCATAGCAAACTATGTGCAAATATCACTGTGACATACTTCCACTTACATAGTGCCAGCCATTTTTAGAATATTCCTGCCTTTAAGTGAGGTGATGTTTTGTGACATGTCCAGAAGAACTTAAATGGCCTGGACCACTCTCCTCACTCACTCTGTTCTGCCCACACTGACCAAATTCAGCAAGTTCTTTCCCATTTTAGGGCCCTCACATGTTCTTTATCCTCTGCCTGAGATGTTCAAGAAGAACTTCTTGAAGGTCCCTTTTTACTTTGCTTTCAGGTCATAGCTTACGTGTCACATCCAGAAGAGACCTTTCCTGATCTCCCAGTTTGACTTAGGTCCTCTCATACTTTTCCTTTATGGGCTTATCATTACTGTGGTTGCACCAGTATTATTTGATTCTTGTTTACTGGCTCTCTGCCCCACAGACCATAAGCCCCATGAAGGGCAGAGGCCATCTCTGGTTTGTTCCCTGCTGTATTCTTAGCACCTAATAGTGCTATATGACTATTAGGGAGTCATAAAGGCTTCCTTTATGAAGAGAGGTTGAACTGTGTCAGTGGTTTTTAACCTTTTTAGGGTCATTGCCCTATGTACCCTCTGCCTAGAATCAGGGATATACTTTGACCATAGGTTAAAGATCTCTAGCTTAGGCTGAATATTGTTAAGGCTCCTTCTAACCCTGTGATTCCATGATCACCCTCAGTTCTTATAAGTAAAACTTATGAGTGACTAAACGCTGTTTGTCTTAAATGTTTAATGGTTTTGGCTCTCAAATCCCAGAAAATAAGATCAGTTGTAAAAATTCCCTTGAATTAAAAAAGTGCGTTCATTCTCTCTAAATTATATGCCTACAGTGTCCTAAAATTTCTAAACTGCTTTAGAACGTAAATGTGTAAACAAGGAAAGAGTGTAGATTTTGTTAGCCAAAGTTTTTATCTATGTAAAGAAATTTAAGGCAAACCAGAACTCTTTTAGCTTATAAAATCAAAAGACATTTGATTTCCCAGTCTAGTAAACTCTTATTTTTGTCGAGGATTTTTGTTTTGTTTTGTGGTTTGGTTTGGTTCGATTTTGCAGCTGCCTAATTAAATCCTGTGTCATATTTCCTGATCAACAGTACCTTCTTTCTGAATGATAATGTAATGCCAGCCACTTTTAGATTTTTCTTTTTCCATTAACCATTAATTGTCAGGTGATAAAGCCAAATGAGAATTTATTTTGATGTACACCTTCAGGAAACATCCAGCTAACTCTGTCACATTTGCTCTCTGTTATAATAATCCAGCTACTCTGAAGGACTTGGAACCTCGAATGTCATCTGCTCTGGTTTCTCAATAAAATATTTCCCCCCACTCTACAGGTACTGGAAAATTGGGCTTCTCCTTTGTGCGGATCACAGCTCTCATGGTGTCTTGTAATCGTTTGTGGGTGGGGACAGGAAACGGTGTCATCATCTCCATCCCATTGACAGAAAGTAAGTATAATTGTAGTTAACTGTTGTAGTGCAGACAGGAGAGTTGCAGAGAACAGTCATGTCCAGAATTCAGGCAGAAGGAGTTGTTTTGGTGTTGGCAAATCTGTAGTGATTCAGAAAATCAAGCTGGTGGCAAAGATGTAACCATTGTTCCTTTACTCTTTCTATGAAACTTAGAAACTCCGGTGAATAACAGTTTCTGTGTATCAGGGCCAATGTTTATCATTAAAAGTTTTCATTGTGAGAAGCTGTTTTTCTCAATTCAGGAATCACAGTCCTATTTCAGCTTTTAAATAAAAGTGGAAGTCCATTTTTCTTTCAGCTTTATTATACCAGTATCCAGAAACACTACCCAACATTCATTCTCATTGTTCATATCTCCCTAGCAGTTAGTTTAGGATATTCCGTTTGGCATATTTGAGGTTTAGAAAAAGTTGTGGGAGAAGTTTCTCAGGAGGTCAGCAAGCCCTTCCTTATTCTGGAGACAAACCATCTCTCGTGTATTTGAAAAGAATGTGAACAAATTGTACATTGTATGTTTTCTATATTATGTTCTGTTATTATTATTTTTGTGAACAAAATGTACATTGTATGCTTTTCATATTCTGTTCCATTACGTTGATCATTCATTAAATGAGTGTTTTTGTGTTGCAAAATTCACGAGCAGGAAATGGTTTGAAAACGAGTGCCATAAGTCCATAAAGTGGGTTAATAAACACCTCAGAATTGCGCCACGTTTTTTCAAGGGAAAGGGACAAGGACTGGAAGGCAGTATAGCTGGAGCCTATAAAGAGCCTAAATTCTTAATCCCAGCTGTTTTTTCTGCAATTACTTACCAATGTACATGTTTAGACCACTTCTTATTTCCTAAGAGATTCTAGGATCCCCAGAATTCATTTCAGTTCTTTTTATAAAGAACTTACTTTTTAAAGTTCCATCCATTTTAGCATAGTTGTATGAACAGGATTTCTTAAAGAAAAATGGGAAATATTAGTATTTAGGAAATGGTCTTTATTCACTGCTTATTCACTGAAATTGCTTTATAATTAAGAAAAGCAAAATCACAGTAAATCAAACTGTCCTTTTTGATCAGAGATATTCTGTGGAGGCTTTGGAAGAACTTTGTGTGTTACTTGGTGTTATACCAGTTAGACTTTGTTAATTTAGTTAGGAGCTTTGAACGCCAAGTTGCCAGATAGAAGACGCTGAGAGTGGTGGCTCGCAGTAATTCTTCTCCTCCCTGTCGTGCACCTCTCCATGTCCCCTTTCCTCCTCTCTCACTTTAGCCGTAATCCTCCACCAGGGACGTTTACTGGGGCTGAGGGGTAAGTGCAGATTCTGAACCAAACTCTTCTTCCTGGCTTGATAGCCACTGTGAGGCTGTTCTCACGTCTCTAGATGCCCTCTTGAATGTTCCTAAATGTCATCCACTTGCAGTCACCGCATCGCAGCAGGTGTTTTTTTGTTTTTGTTTTTTCAGTGTTTGTTACATGGCCACCAAACTACTGCTCAGCAGCTTAGTCTATTTATCATCTTTTGTTGCAGCTGAACTTTCTTTCAGACTTTGTTTTCCTTCCAATAAAAACACAAAACATCTCTTAAAACTGTCATTAATCTACATTGTTTACTCTTGTTACCAATCATGTTTCTTTCATTCACTTACTTGCCCATGGAAGGGGGATGTTTTGTGAGTCTGGTCATTCTAAAATAATCCAGCAAAAGCATCAGTCTGGTGTAAATAAAAGCTACTCTCTTGTAGTGGCTGGGTCCTTTTAAACACGTCTTTTTACCGCCGCCCTCAAGGAGATGTTCTTACCACAGGGGCAAAAAATCAGAAGATAAACTATAAAAATTTTATTCAAACTGCATGTAACTATTTTACTTTACTTTAAACTATGTAACTGGTTAGTTTTCTAAAGTGGGGTTAAAAAACAAAATAAAATAGGCATACCTAAGATGCAGATGTTTTATTTTGTTAACAAAAATGATTTTTCAAAAATTAGAAGATGTGTTTAAAAAGTAAGCTTAGTTATTGCTAGACTGGCAAAATCCCCTACTCCATTCACTGAGGTACTTAAAAATAACTAGCATGCTATATATCTTTTTTTCCAGCTTTGTCTTGAATTGGCATTGCGGCCCTTGTTTTATCTCAACTGGCTGTAGCTTTTAGATAATATCATAAGGATTAACCAGTAACCTCTTGCATCATTACTATTTTCCAGGGGAAAATATTTGGTATTTGGTTTTTCTCTTGCAGCAAATAAAACCTCAGGAGCACCAGGAAATCGTCCTGGAAGTGTAATCCGAGTATATGGTGATGAAAACAGTGATAAAGTGACTCCAGGGACCTTTATACCCTATTGTTCAATGGCACACGCACAGCTTTGCTTCCATGGGCACCGGGATGCTGTGAAATTCTTTGTGGCAGTCCCAGGTGAGTTAGACGATTCTATGGAGAAGTTGCATGTAATTAACTCTCTTCTGTCTCTTGGTTCCACTATGTAGTCTAATGCTAAGTACTGGAATTTCAGATAATTCCAGTATGATATATGAAAAGTTCAGTAATGGAGGTATTGATAAAGTGCTATAGGGATATTTGAATGAAGTTGTTTTGGAATCTCTCCTCTCCTCCCGGAAGCAAACTTCTTGATTTTTTTTCCGATACTTGCTTACTTTTGGAAAGCAGTGATATTATTTTGTCACCACAGAATACCAAAAATGGTCTTGGCCTAGTAAAGGAGATGGCTAGAAAGAAGCCCCTTTTGTCAAGGCTGCATGCCTTTGATGTAGACGATGGCTCTGGCTCCTCTATCAGTGCTGTGGAGGGAGCAGTGGAGTAGGAGTCTGCGGGTGTGGGCCTTCCACCTCGCCATTTGCCGTGTTATCTTGAGCAAGTCACTTAACCTCTAAGACTCATTTCCTCGTTTGCTAAGTGGACGTGATTACTCTCTGCTCTGCCAACCCCATTTGTTGTGAAAATTAATGAAAACGCTTTAGAAATTATAAAGCACCATCCAGATGAAAAGTGGCAGTGTTGAGGTCTAGTGAAAAATGTTCTGTCTCAAGACTACTAAGACGTTACTGACCATCTGTAAGCAGGATTCATGTTTTAAATATTTTTTTTGCCCATAAGAGGCAAATTTGGGAGTTAGAGAAAGTTCAAATCTGACTTTACTACACCAACTGTGTGATGTTGGACGTGGTAGTGTCTCAGTGTATTAGTCAGGGTTCTTCAGAGAAGCAGAACCCATAGAGGGTGTGTGTGAGGGAGAAAGAGGGAGAGGGAGGGAGGGAGGGAGGGAGAGATTTAATTTAAGGAATTGGTTTATGTGATTATGGGGGCTGGGAAGTCAGAAATCTGCAAGGCAGGCTGGCAGGCCTGAGATCTAGGAAAGAGTTGATGTTGCAGCTCGAGTCCAAAGGCTGTCTGGAGGCAGAATTCCCTCTTCCTTGAGGGACCTATCTTTTTCTCTTAAGACCTTCAACTGATTGGATGAGGCCCACCCATATCATAGAGAATAATCAGCTTTACTCAAAGTCCACTGATGTAAATGTTAATCATATCTAAAAAATAACTTTCACAGTAATATCTAGACTGGAGTTTGACCAAATATCTGGGCACCATAGCCTAGCCAAGTTGATATGTAAAATTAACCATCACACTCATTTTCGCAAGGTTTTCCCAAAGATTAAATGATTAAATGTGCATGGTGCAGGACTTCCCTGTGGTACCCTAACCAGTTAGCAGCATGGTGATGAGCTTCCTGAAACACAGATCATGTATGTTTGTATAGTTATTTCCTTAGGATAAATTCCTAGCAATGGAATTGCTAGTAATAGTGTTTTCTTGCTTTTTTAAAAAAAGAAATAAAATGTCATAGAGTCTCCTTTGAGTCTCCCTTATATCCCTCTGATCCTGCCCTTTCCCCTTTCCCCTCCCTCTAACCGCTCTCCTAAAGTTGATATATATCCTCCTGCCTATGTTTTTATGTTTTTACTACATTGAGCATATCTATAAACAATCTATAGTATTTTTTGGTTTTGAACTTAAATGTTTTGTTGTGTATATATTCTTCTGCAACTTGCCTCTCATTTTTTGAGATTTATGAATGCTTATACATAAAAATCTAGTTCATTCATTTAACTATAGTATTCTAATATCTGAATAAACCTGCTACATTTTATTGTTCTTCTGTTGATGGACGTCTAGGTTTTCCCCCACTATTAAAAGCAGTACTGCAGAAGACCTTCTTGTGCACGTGGGAAAGACTTTTCTGTTGGGTGTAAACCTGGAAGCGGAATTGGCGACGTTGTTGTTTGTTGACTCATTGGCCTTAAGGATTAAGCCCTTCGTTTGGCCTTATTATCATACCTTTGTGTTCTTGCTTCTGAGGCAGAACTAACTAGTCTGCTAACAGAAGTTATCTCTGCCTGACTTGCTTTCTTCCAGAGTGTAATTGAGTGATGCGAGAATGACGCACTGTGGGAAAAATTCAAACTGTCTTATCCACTTCCAATAGAAATTAATTTTTTAAAGTGTGTCACATCATAGGACTGTGTCCTGCTATCTCCTAGAGGAATGATCTGTGTAGTTTGACCAAAAGACAGCAAATTCTGGCGAGAAAAAATACCCCACAGTCAAAGCTTTCTAAGAGGGATGTCATGGAGATTATAATGTGAATTAAAGGTTTCTCTCTTTCTGCCATTTCATGCTCAAGGATTCTACCTTAAAACTTAAACTTGAGAACAAATGGCACATTTCTAGTAATTTTATTTGCATAATCTAAATTAAAAATAAGATGTACTTTTTTTAAATATGAGAGGAAAACAATAGATTTGAAATAAATGTAAATATTAGTTATGAATATTCAAACTCAGCAGGCTCAAGTTGCAGACTTTTCTCAGTCTTTTCCATAAATGCACCCTCTCAGGGAAGAGGCCTCTCCACTCTCCCTGAGATAAAAAAATGTAGCTTATAATATCTGAAGCAGGCAGCTAAGACTAGCCTGGCCATACACAGATAGTGGATTTTGGACCTATTCCTGCTTTGGTACAAAACGGCTTTACTTAGATTTTCAAACTGGGCTCCTATGACCTTTGTAGATGTTTTCTGATTGTGCAGAGGCTTCTAATGTACTCAGTACTTTGGTTATATTAGAATATACTTACCTTGTTGTTCAAGTTTCTGAAAATTTTCAGAAAAAAATGAGTCTTCTCTACCCCAATCTGTGATAAATAGTATTCACTTCTGTTCCTGTATAAATAGGTCAAGTTGTCAGCCCACAAAGTGGCAGTAGTGGCACAGATCTAACAGGTGACAAAGCAGGGCCATCTGCACAGGAGCCTGGCAGCCAGACGCCCTTGAAGTCTATGCTTGTCATCAGTGGAGGAGAGGGTTACATTGACTTCCGGATGGGTAAGTCCTTGGCTCTGGGAGCTCAGTTTCCAGTGTGACTTGGATTTTCACCCACAGTAAATAAGAAACCACTCTGATAAGTGATTTCTAAGAGCTTTTCTTTGAATTCTGTATTTGGAAAAGGAATTTGTATTTCTTTTTTCCTTTTTTCTTTCTCTCTCTCTCTTTTTTTTTTCTTATACCAAAGTACCTTTGTTTGAAGAAGCATTAGAAAATAGCAGTGCTTGGTCATATGTTGAGGTATTTGTGAAGAGCGTTAGATACGGAGTCAGAAGGCCTTGGGCAAATCATTCAACCTCCCAGAACCTCAGTTTCCTCACTTGCAAAATGGAGAAATAAAAATACTTCATAAAATGTTGTTTGTATCAAAATTGGTTTCGTTTATTCATTCTCTCACCTTATAAACATTAATTATCTACTTTGTGCCTGTCAGCTTTAAGCTTGAGATACAGAAACAGATCAGACAGAGCCTCCCTCCAGTAGCTTATAGAACAGAGTGGAGATAGAAACATGTTAATAAATCGCGGTCTTCCAGATGCCCTGACGGGGAGCAGCCAGTTCTTCGTAGGGGCAGGGAGAGAGGGAAGGAGGAAACGAAGCTTGAGATGACTCAACACCAAATAGTGTTAGTCTAAAGAATTGGGTTGGAGAGGGGATGGGAACGGCTGGGGGGATTGGCATTCCAAGGTAAGAGAATAGCCTGACTAAAGGTTTAGAAATGTAAAACCACTTTAATTGAAGAAAAACTATTTTTAAATGACTGGAGCATAGAGTCGAAGCAAGTACAAATTTGACCAGAAGTAAGAAAAGGAGGGGCTAGATTATGGAAGGTCTTTATATACCAAATTAACAAGTTTCATTTTTATCTTTTTTTTTTAAGGTATGCTTTTTGTTTAGGAAGATTGGCCCTGAGCTAACATCTGTTGCCAATCTTCCTCTTTCTTTCTTCTCCCCAAAGCCCCAGTACACAGTTGTATATCCTAGTTGTAAGTCCTTCTAGTTCTTCTGTATGGGATGCCACCACAGCATGGCTTGATGAGTGGTGTGTAGGTCTGCGCCCAGGATCCAAACTGGTGAACCCTGGGCCGCTGAAGCAGAGCGTGTGAACTTAACCACAAAGCCATGGGGCTGGCCCCTGCATTTCTATCTTTAAAGCAAAGGAAAACTATTGGAGGACTTTAAATAGAATAGCAATATGATTAGATTCGTGTGGAAGGTGGATTAGAGGTAAAAGACTAGATAGAGATAGGGAAATGAGTTAGGAAAAGAGTAACTGAGTAAGATAGTAACAGTAGGAGTAGATGAGCAGCATGATGGGGAATTGGTAACTAACAGGATGTGGAGAAAGAGGGAATGATCCTTTACTTAGAGATTAGGACTGTCAACAGAAGAAGATCTAGAGGGAGCGAAAGAGGAGTTGAGTGTTGGACATGTTGACCTTGAAGAGCATGGGAGTGGGAATTATCCAGGTGGAAGATGTCCACCGGGCTTTTGAGTCTCAGGGTTTTATATCTCAGGAGGGAGGGATTTGGGGGCTCTTGGCATGCAGTGGTACTAAAAGCCACAAGGGTTGATGAGTTCACCCAAGGAGAGTATGTAGGGTCTAAAAGAAGAGGTTCTAGAATAGAACCTGTATTAATACTCCATTTAAAGAATCATTAGAGCTTATGAAGGGATCCAAGAGGAATGGCCGGAGAGGTACAAAGAAAACACAGAGAACTGGTGTTTGTGAAAGTGTAGTGCTCTGTAAACTATAAAGCACTACACTATAAAACTATTTATTTGCTATAAACGAAGGGATCCTTTGGACTGGCCTAATATCACCGAGATTTAAAAAGTTCCTAAACATAAGGCTTTACAGAATATAACGTAGATCGGTGACAAATACTTATTTTAGTTATAAATTCTGTAAAAAAAAAAAAAAAAAAAAAAAGGAGTATAATTGGGGCTGGCCTGGTGGTATAGTAAAGTTCGCGCACTCCACTTCAGCGGCCCAGGGTTCACAGGTTCAGATCCCGGGCGCAGACCTGGCACCGCTCGTCAGGCCATGCTGTGGAGGAGGATTGGCACAGATGTTAGCTCAGGGCCAGTCTTCCTCACTCACACACACACACAAAGTTTAAAATTTAAGGTCATAAATGACAGTGTGCCACATGTAATTAGTGTAAACTAGAATATCTGATGCAAGGGCTTACTGACACTTTTTTAAGGGAAGTATTAACATTAAGTTTAGGAATTGATTGATTCTGGTGATGTCAGCAGGAATGGAGTCATTTCAAAGTGTTTTCAATAATTGACTGCTGGTGGAGAATCCTTTATAGAGAGCAACTTTACTTGGCTGGGGTGATTTTTAGAGGTTTTTCTTGGAGTACAACATGGCAATTGGAACCATACTAAGGAGAATGTTAGTAAAATCTTTGTGGTTTTTCCATTTCCACTAAAAATTCCTTCCATTGTGGATCCTGAAAATAGCATAAAAATTGCTTAACCAGGTTTGTCAGTAAACTCTAATTAATCCAGCCTGAAAAATGGACTTGTCTTAAAGCAAGGGTTAATTTTGATAGTATACATGCCTTTTTAAAAAATTGAATTTGATTTTTTCTTCCATTTCCTTTTTCATTTCCTGTTATGTTTTAGCAATGAGAAATTGATCCCAACAGTCCCATATTTTTAATGGTTTAATTAAGTAGGATTTAGAGACCCTAGGAAATGGTAGTTTTTAAAAATAGAACCTTCAAAACAAAACAACTCAAAAAACAAATGCCAACAACCTTTTGTCTCAGCCAATTAATTTGTCGTTATCATTGTAATTTTTTTAAATTTAAAAACCAAATTTAACTTTTTACATTGTATTGTATTTCAGCTCAGAAAGTGGATTTTGTCTTGAGCCTTTTAAAGCATGCTCCTGTCCACAGTTTGACATCCTGGTGGAAAGGCCCCTAGGGGTTGGGTAAGGGAGAGTTTGGCCTGCAGAGAAAAATGCAAAGTTTTAGGATTTTTTCTCTTCTACTGTTTCTAGTTAACAGTATCAGTGTTTTCTTTTGCCAGCTGAAATTCAGATGAGACACTACCAAATTCTAGTAGATCAGCGTTATAGCTTCGTCCCTTGTTATGTAAGTTTGTAGAATTCTACTGAAGAAACTATCCTGCTGGATGAGTTGTCACTGGTTTGTGCTGGAATCACCCCAGCCAAGTGAAGTCCCTCTCTATAACGGAATTCTCCACCAATAGTCACTTATTTAAAGCACTTTGAAATGATTCTGTTCCTACCAGAATAACCCTGCTTTGCAACAACGAAACCAGTTACTTTGCATTTGCAGAGAGGAGAATGGTCTGCTAGCACTGGGCCTTCCAGAGCAGTGTCTTTGATCAGGACCTCATTTGTCGAATTCACTCAGCTACTCCCAGAAGAACCTGTAACCTATCTGTAGCACTGCCTCATTTCTTCATCTGCACCATACGCTGTTAGTTCATAACCACCCCTAAACTTGAAGATCATGGAAGGCAAACCCCAAGTAGTGATGGAGCTGCTGTCTCACAGTGCTGCAGGGAGACAGTTCCATTTCCGTGCACTTGCATCAGTTACCTTAGAGTGGAGAACTTCACTGTGACTGACGAGTAGCCGGAGTTGTTTGGGTTTAGTTCGTTTGTGGGCTCTATCCCCATGCTTTCGCATGTATAGTACTGTGTAGTCTCAATTCTTAGTTTGAAAAAACAAGATTAGACTGTCCATTTTGGATGAACACAGAATTGGACAGCTTTGCCTTCTTAGCTTCCCATTTCTGTTAACTTCCGTATGCAGACATATTGGGATGTGTTTCCAACATAGTATGGTGAACTCACTTTGATAAATGTAGTCTGAAAAATGAATTAACCTTTTCGGAAGTCAGGCAGCGAAGATTCTGACTCATGGCATTCCTTTTACTGTGTTCTCTGCAATGGGGGTCAGACAAGTTTTGTGCATACTGTTCAGCACTAACCACGAGCGTGTGTCGGATGTACATGGGCCTGCATATTTCATCTCGACCTAACTTGAGTCTCCATATCATCCACCAGGTGATGAAGGTGGAGAATCAGAACTTCTTGGAGAGGATCTTCCACTTGAACCTTCTGTCGCCAAAGCAGAAAGGAGTCACTTGATAGTGTGGCAAGTGATGTATGGCAGTGAGTGAGCCATAGGAAACGGGTGGAGACGGGGAAGCCGTCTCTTCTGCATGGTTTATTTTCCCTTTTCCCCTTTATTTAATGCTCTCTTTGTGAAATAAGTTTCACCACATAATGTGCGAGCATTTTTTTTCCTGTTAACTTTATACTACAAAATCTGTCCTACCGTCACAATACAGGAACTAGCTGTTTTACTGCGCCAGTGTTATAGGCATTTTCAGGATATTGTGAACAAATCAAGAATGTTTACTTTCTGCAAACTGGTGAATTATAGAAAGCAATCCAGATGTGGTTTACTCTGCCACAGTTAATGTCACTCATTTAGTTTGATGGGGTCACTTTTTAGCTGTCACTAATAATGGAAATAGTGGAAACACTTGATAAATGAAACTGTACCATTAAGTACAATAGTAAAGTTTCCCCCAGTGTATTATAAAATTGACACAAGCTAACTTCAGGTGGATTATCAGGATTTATCTAAATGTCCCAAGAGGGCTAAAAGCTAACTGTAAATTACTTTAACTTTCACTTTCAAATCTGACAAATCTTGTTTATATGGTATATAAAACTTTGTTTTCATCAGATTTTGGGGGGGTTTTATATTAAAGAAATTAAGACTACACTATTTAAATAAAAGTTTCCTGTTTCTGACTTATTAGAGCTCTAAAGTTTATGAGGCCTGCTTCTCTGAATATTCTGATTTTTTTTTTGAGACTAGTCTTGCTCGTTTTCATACTGACATGTCTGAAAAGTTTATTATTTATAATGCTTAGAAGATACACTTCAGCAATGGGAGAGTTTTTTTTTAAGGAAATTGTGTTGGATTCCTTGTACCAGCAGGCGGTGGTGGTTGGTTGAGTTTTTTCCATGTAAAAACATTCACCTGTTTCCCAGTTGTTCTTGGACTGCCCTTAGCCGTTAACAAGAGTAAAGCTGCACTGGTGACGGACAGCAGCCTGACGAACTGAGTGAGGGATTTGATTAGAAACGGCGTTGTTTTTGTTCTGTATAAACTACAGAACAGCTAGCACTGGATATTTTGTATGTAAATGACACATTGTTTAAGCTCTTGTGCCCTTTTGAGATTAAAATGCCATCTTCAAAGAAGAAAACTAGGAAGGGGAACAAGACAAAGCCAAGATACCCTAAAGTGAAAGTTGACATTACATGTTTTCACTCTCAGTGCCCGTTTAAAAAATAGTCTAACTGACATTCTTGTTTAATAAGTTTTTAAAAACCATTATGCTGCAGTTTTTTTCCCTCAACCTTCTTGAAAGTGTGTGATTTATGATCTCTTATCCATTACTTTAAGCAAAGCTAAAAATAAAGTTAAGTGCTATTTTAAAACTGTAAACCTATTGGATAAATGCCCCCCAATCATCAGGACTGCTTCAAGGAGGAGAAAGCAAACACAGGCCTCAGACTGTCTAAGCATTCTTACGTACCAGGGACTTTTTTTCCTGAACTGTCATGCAAAGATATTTGTAAAAAGTACCCCAGTGACTTTTAAGCATATACATGATGACTAGATTATAAAATACATGGGATTTAATGAGCCAGAGGAGGCCTTTGGATCCATTTGGCCACATGTGTCTATAAGCACATTGTGTACAAAGTAAAATTGTGGCCACTTTAGACGGCTGGATGAAAAAAACTCTTTTGGTAACAGCTGTATTAAAAGGATAATTTTTTGCTTGAGATACTTAGTCACTTTTCTTCAGGGCACCAAAATTTAGGCCACTTTTCCATAGCTCGTAAGCTATGTTTTTATTTTATTTTACATCTGAACCATTTTTGGCAATACCTTTAAAAAACCCACATATTAAATATTTTGGGAGGATATTGTATAAATTCATTAAAAAAAGAGACACCAAAGTGTTTGGGAATTTTAATCCCAAGAAGTAAATATCCCAGAGTCAGACCCTGTTGCTCTTCAGTCTTTTACATGTTTATACAACTGAATGTCACGTGGGAAATCAGGAGTTAGAGATGAAAAAACGCAAACATGTTACAATGGTTCTAATTGCTCTTTTTCAATTTACTGGCTTTAACTTAAGGAATATAGGTATGTAGTTATTTTATCTAAAGCTGTCAGATTATCTGTGGCCCTGTTAGTTAACTTCAGGGATTAGAGAGAGTACAAGAACGTCTGTACAATTCGTTTTAAGGGCTTGTCCTTATGTTCGTAATTTCAGTTAAATATTTTCTACAGATTGCTTTACTTCCCCCCTTTCCCCAAGAATAGGTTTATATTCTTGTAATATTCACTTTGGTCAAGGAGATAACCTTTGGAAGAAAATGCCAAAATGTCAGCTTGCAAGCAGCAAGGTGGAAGGTGGAAGCTGCCTGTGGCTGCCACGCCAGGGGCAGAGAAGAGGCTCGAGTGCCTCAGGTCGGTCTCTCCCTGAGAAAACGTTTACCCTGTTGGAAGAAATAAGGGATACCGAGAACTGTCTCGTTTCATCACGCTTGGGCTGTGTGTGAGGTTGAACCATGTGAAATTGCCAACGTTTGACCGTTGCTTATCTACAGAGATGGCAGTATCGTATACGTTGACCTAGTGCTTTCTGTTAAATGCAGGGTAAAATCCCTGTGAGGCAAAGGGAGGGTATTCTCTAGGACTTCAGTTTTGAGAGTGTTTTTCTCTAACTTGTGTGGATCTAAATTTTTAAAATAGGAATGAATATCTTAATAGCTGCAGCTTGTTGAGAGTGTAAAATGTTTTGAGCACAAACTATGCAGCACATAACTTTTCAGATTAAGTGTGTTGGCATAGAAAGGTTAAAGTACATTCTCTCAGTTGATGTATTGTTCATTTCTTGTAAAGGTCTTCCTACATTTGAGAATAGACCCTTTAACATAGGCTGCCTTAGTAACAAAACAAAGCAAAACAATTGTCTCATAATATTAACTGTCCTGAAGAACGTGTGTCTTGCAAATGCTGTGGAACTGAATATTTATTTCCTTGTGAGTATTATGACCGTTACCAAAGGACTCAACAAGATTTAGGCTCTTCTTAATTGATCATGTTGACAAAGGGACTCATTTGGTCCCAGTTTGTAACATGGGAAGAGTAGAGAAGAGAGAATTAAATGTGGAAATCATAAATGCTTTTCTAACAGGGTTATGCTATTTTGTAACACTAAATGTCTTTTTCTTTCTCTTAAAAAAATTAAGTTTTTATTATTAATTTTGTCATACATTTCACAATGTTTGAATATATTTTAACCATATTATGTTCTGAATTTGTTTTTTGTTCTAGACATTTTATCCAGAATTTTACTTGCCTCTATAATCTGAAAACTGGGTTCTAGAGTGTCCCACTTGCTGTCTCTTAGAGGCTGAGGCTTCATTTCTATGAGCCAAAAGCTCATTTAGCAATGTTGTTATTTCAGTATTTATTTCTATCATGGAATCCCTGGGGTTCGGAATGTAACTTTGTACATGAAATATATATAAATATGTATATGAAACATGTGAGGTCCAGTGTATTTTGTTTTGTTTTTGCCTTTCCTTGGGGTTTTGAACTTGGTTTTCATTTGAGGGTCCAATAATCTTACCCCATCAAACATGCCATATCTGAGGGACTGTCACTGTTTGGCACTGGCTCAAGGTAAGCAGTGGGGAATACATGAAGAACATGTCTGCTTGGCTCACGTGTTCAAATGAGATATGAGTAATAGACCATAGGGCTTTCTAGAAGTGTCGGTGTGCTGAGTAACAGCCCACACATGAGACTACCATTTGCCAGCTTACTCAGTAATAAGAGGCAGACTAATGTCGATGGTAATAATATGGTGTGCCTATTTGTGATCCCTTTGCTTGGGAGAGACTCTGCAAGGAAGGATGATTATGAAACTAATCATGTGGTAGCACAAGGTGAATCCATATTCAGTGCAGTGGTATTTAGTCAAATCCAGGGTATTTTGTTTACAAGAAATATGGGGCTCTGACGTGATAGTATAAGTAGCCCTGACTGGCATGTTAATAGGACAGTTCACTAGATGAAGGCACAGCCGTTTATCCAGTGAGGTTGGATGCTCTAGAATATAATTCACAGCCTGGCTCATTCCTGCTGTAACTGCCCTTTAGTCGTCTGGGGCTTGCCAAGTCATTGTTTTGGAAACCGATTAATTCCTTTCAGCCTCATTCCGTCATCTTCCTGATCCAGCCAGTTTCCGGTGAAAAGCTGGAGTAGCAGCACAGGACAGGAGACATTCATTGTAGGTTTGATGGGGGAACAGGACAGGAGCGCTGTCTTTCTAACTGGAATGGTAGCCTGCAGTCCTACCCAGTGGGGAAACTTTCTTTCAAACCTTGGTGAGGAGATGCTGCTTAGGCCCCAAGCTCTTCCTCATCCAACCCCAGCCTCTCACATTCCCTGTAGGTGTGAGAGCCCTCGTGTAGTTAGGGGACTTCTCAGAATACCTTAAATATTCGGTAATTAACACAGTTCAGTTTAAACTCATTTCCTTTAGAGACAGAGTGGTAGAGTGGGAAAGAAGGCTGTAGACCTGTCCAGACTCTGCCTCTACAGTGACCCCAGGCAGGTCCCTTTAACGGCACCCCAGAGTCACCCATAAAGGCATAAAACTCCACCCGAGACCTGCTGAATCAGACTTTTGTGGGGTCTGGACCCAGGTGTCTGTGAAGTGTCCTAGGTAAGTGTGCTATGTGGCTTAGGTTGAGGAATGTCTCATTAACATCTTTGGACCTTAGTTCTCTGGTGTGTTAAAGGAGAGTGGTTTCTCCAGGTGGTCTGAACAAAATACCAACCCTAATGCCCTCTGGTTCAGTGACCCTGGCTCTCATTTGCCTCAGTGTGTTGTCTGTACAGATACCAACCATACCTGCTTGCAGACCAGGGTTGCCCAGTCCCCCATGAGGCCAAGCTCTCTGGTGAGTGGGATTTGATTACTTAGAGTTTCCAGTTTATCAGAACCACACTGTACAAAAGGAGGCGCATAGCTTAGCTCCTTGCTTTTATGTCCAAGTAGAACATTGGGTCTCACCCACAGTCAAAAAGTAGTTATGATTTGATTTAAGGCCTCAAAGGAGAGGTAGACCAATGATCCCCAGCTCAGGGAGGCCCACAGCTTCATGTAAAAGTCGCAGCTCTCACAGGCCAGGAGAGGGCGTGTGGCCAGAATCACCCCAGGGCTAGTTCCAGAATGAAATTATTCCTTCTTCCTCTCACCTCAGGAGTACCACACTGTACTGGTATATTTGGAAAAACAGTTACCCAGGTGATTCCGATCCTTCCATTGGGAACCGCTGCTTAAGAGGAACTCAGGCAGCCCAGCTGGATTCACAAACATCTGTTTTCCAGGAGCACAAAGCTTCATTCATTCTTAGCCGGTTATTACCAGCACATGGTGACCTGCCAGCAGGCTCACCCCAGGCTCAACCCAATGCTGTTTTTGATTCATGGGTAATTGAAGCTTAGGGTACTTTGAACTTATTGCTACGTTAAAAGCTTAAAGGAAATATTTCATCTCCCATTCACTTGATAAGGCTATTTTTTAATGGAGAAAAGCCATAACCCTTTAGTTGTTATCATGACTAGCTTGCATTTGCATAACATCTACTAGTTTTCTCAAAGTATTTACTCCATACATTCAAAGGTGATTGGCACAGCAACGCTTTGGAGTGGATTGTGGTCCTCAGGGGATCCAGAGGCCTGGCCTAGGAGGGCCTTGCTCCTTAGTAAGCAGGCAGCAGAGAGCAGGAAAGGCTCATGGCCCTTACGGGGGATAACCAGGTGAGCTCCACGCTGGAGGCCACCGCAGGTGTGCTGGGGAAAGTCCTGGATCTCGGGTCAGGAGCCCTGGGTTTGAAGCCTGGGTCTACTGTTTGCTAATTTTGTGACCCTTCACTAGTCACTTAACTATTCCATTTCCTTACTATAAAAGGGGAGTGACCCCCAAAGGGTGGTTGTGCTGGCTGAGTGAAGTAATGCAGCCAGCACGCCACCTGCCCCTACAAGGCACTCAACAGCAGGCTTCAGAGCTGCATCGCTGCCAGCTCTGTGCGGATGAGTAAGACGCCGTCAGGGAGGTTAGGACAAGAGAGGGAAGTGGACACGGAAATGGCAAAGTGTCATCTAGTATTGTTGCTGGATGTTAGAAGCATTAGTTAAATGATATTGGTATGGTACCTGCTTTGGCTATTTTATAATGTGATGAAAACGAGAGAAAAACTGTCTTCAATGCTTATTTAATGCACAGTATTCTTATTTCCAGTCTATTTATCAGTGTCCTAGACCTGGTCTGTCCTAAAATAATTGTGTTAGGAAGCAGAGGCCTTAGGCCTGTTGGACCTTTCAAGGAATACCTTTCTATGTCGCCCCACCCTCCCCAATTTAGGGAAAAAGAGTGTTTCGTGAAAATTAAACACAGGAGGAGACCCATATTCCCTTTTGCATCTAAGAATTAATTTCATTCCTATCCAGGCACACTGAGGGACATATTGAAGCATGAAAATAGTGGTAAGTTTGACATTTTAGATGCCATCAAAACATATTTATTCAGTATCTGTTGCTCATAATGCTTTATGACAAGAATTAAACTTCCAGTCACTGCATATAAGCGGGTAGAGAGCAGACGTACAGAACTAAATCAAATATTAACATGAGATGCACGGCAGAGTGTAGAATGGTGGCAGGGAGGGTCATATGCTTTCTGCATGATTAAAAAGCTTAGCATTGCTCTGCCCGAGCGAGAAAGCAAACCTCCATCTGTTAAGATTTTTGAGGACATCTCACGCCCAAAGAGAGTGGAGCGGTCTTTCAAAAATGAATTTCTTCATCAGGAGTATTGTAGAATGCTATCTTCCGCACAGGATTGTTGGGAAGATTAAATGAGATCATGTACAGTGCTACTCACCAGTAAACAAATATTTGTATCCTCCCCCCTCGGAGGCCTCGATGTCTTTTCCTGTTGTCTTTTCTCGTCCAGCTGACTTTGCCTGACCTTTGGCTAGCCCAGACAAGTGACAAGTCCTGGGGTGAATTTTCAGCGGCTCACCTTTTGCTGCATTTCAGCCTGTTAGGCTTCTGTGGAAACGGGCTTTTATTTTGTAGCCAGTCTACATTTCTATCTTGGAGAATTTACCTGGGGCTGTAAGGAAGGAACTAGGAGCAAAAGTTTAGCATGTTCTTCACCAAAAAAGACTCCAGTACTGATTCTTAGAGGCATCTCAAGCATTTGTCCTTCCTGGAGGAGCCTGGGTGGAGAGGAGCCGACAGTGGGCAGATGCCTGTGGGCAGATGTCTCTCGGCAGCCTTGGCTGATTTAGAGACCCAGTCCTGGGCTTTGCCCAACTGCGGGTTTATCAGACCATCCTCCCCCGTGTTAAGGCCATGTTTCTGGGGCCCCAAGATGACAGCCCTTTCTTCCAAAGACTCCTCTGGTGTGATATGATGTGAACCAGATATCAGCATCTCAAAAACCAAGTCACGATAAGGAATCATAGGTGTAGCCCCTCCCTGCCGCTGATTTATCCAAAGTCGTCATCTCTCTCTGGACTCAGTTTCCTTATCAGTAAAAGCCAGGGCTTGGCTCAGATGAGCTCGAAGGCTACTTCTAAGGTGACATTCTTTGAGGGGGGGATCATCGGTGCCGTGTACAGTTTGGGTTGTATGGACTAACAGCCTTCATGCCCAGCCAGATCCTTATGGAGGGAATTCACGCAGCCTGTACCACTTGGTACAAACCAGCTACTTTGTTTGATGCACCAGTTTGTCCCTGAGGCATCAAGGCATCACTTCCATGAATGGGAGGAATATGTCTTAATTAGGAAGAGAGACACTGTTAAGTTCTCTGGGTCTTCCACTCCCTTGGACAGGTATCCATCTTTTCCTTCTCAAACCTGGGAAGAGGTCTCCAAAAGTCTACTTTAGGACGGCAGCTGAGCCTTCAGAGAGCTTCTCCCTAGGCCCCCTTTGGCATCACTTTGGAGAAAGAGAGAAGGGCTGAGAGGTTACACTTAATTAGGGAGGATCCTTGGCTTCTCAGTACCACCCCCTCCCAGAGCAGGAAAGGTGGGGTGGGGGGAATGGGAAATGAACTTGCTTGGAAAGCTGCCTTGCTAGAGAGGCTGGGCTCTGCTCCCTTTTGAACGCAAGGTGGCGCCATGTTAGTACTAGGCTTCCACGTGTTAGCACTGAAGGCTGCCAGCCCCTCATCTGTCCCCTTCATCCTCACTGGGCTGGCCACCCCAGCAAGGCAGGCCAAACCAGACCAAGGAGGGTGCCTGCTGGGAGTCAAATTGTACAGATAAGGTAAACTAGTTCACTTTACTAACAAGCAAGCTGAGGCCCAGTGTGGCTGTTATTCAACAGCAGAGATCAGACTAAAAATCTTGACTCTTGGGTTAGTGCTCTTTCTACTAGGCTGCCTCTAGATTCTCATAGCCCTGGGTTCTCACTCCTTTCTTTCACCTTTTCTCAGTCAGCCTATAGCCCAGGGACCCAAA